GGACAGAGTCCTGTCATATTTAAGTCTTCCCGGTATCCCTGTTATTGGGTGACTTGTTATCCCATTTCACAGATTGGAAAGCTGGCCCAGAGCAGGTCCTCACATGGCTAATAGTTGGAGCTGGATCGGAACTTGAGTCAGTTGGGTCCCACAGTCTTTTGCAACTTTTCTTGGGTCTTTGTGGCAGGAGGTTGCAGAGTCTTACACCTGGGACCCCCGTTGTCAGAGGACTTTGCCCAGCCCCTCTGTAGAGGCTCAGAGATGTGGATGGACTTGCCCACAGGCTCATTGGTGGGCTTGCAAAATTAAGGGTCTGGACTTGACTTCCTTGGGCCAGGACAGAATGTGGTGTAAACTTCTCTTTGGCCGGGCCAGCCCCCACCCCTGCTCCTCACCCCCACCCGCCCGTCCTTCCCAGCCTGTTTTCCTAAGCAGCTTCCAAGTTGACACCTTTTTCTGGAGGCTCCTGTCCAGCTGGGATAAGGAACAACTGTGCTACCAGCTCCTGGGACTGTATGAACTCTTTCTAGAATTCAGGACCAGGGTCTCTCTATTTTATCTCCCCACAGGGAGGGAGAGAAGAGGGTTTGAGCCAGGGCCCAGGATCTTGAGGCTGCTGGTGTCAAAGCCAGTGGGTGGTTAGTGGCTAGGCCTCCACATCCAGGCACAGATGCCACACTGGCTGCCTAGAACTAAAACCCTGCTTGTGCAAAGGGAATGCTCAGGCCTCCATATATATATATATATTTTTTTTAAATAAATCTTTATTGTTCATATTATTACAAATGTTCCTCTTCCCCCCCCCCTCCATTGCTCCCTACCACCAGGTTCCCACCCCACTCTCCGCCCCTTCCCCACCCCTCATTGTCCTCATCCATAGGTGCACAGTTTATGTTCAGTCTCTTCCCACACACCCCTCTCCCCTCCTCCCTGAGAATCATCAGTTCACTACCCTTCCATACCTCTGATTCTATTATATTCAACAGTTAATATTGTTCCTCAGATTTTTTTTTAAATTTCCTTGGTTTTTAGATTCACTTGTTGATAGTTATGTATTTGTTGTTCATAGTTTTTATCTTTATTTATTTTCTCTTCTGAAAGAACCCCCTTCAGCAATTCATATAATTCTGGTTTGGTGGTGATGAACTCCTTTAGCTTTTTTTTATTAGTGAAGCTCTTTATCTGGCCTTCGATTCTGAGTGATAGCTTTACTGGATAGATTATCTTTGGCTGTAGGTTCTTACTATTCATCACCTTGAATATTTCTTGCCATTCCCATCTTGCCTACATGGTTTCTGTTGAGAAATCAGCTGACAATCGTATAGGTGCTCCTTTATAGGTAACTACCTACTTTGCTCTTGCTGCCTTTAATATTATCTCTTTGTCTTTTGCTCTTGGAATTTTAACTATGATTTGTCTTGGTGTGGTCTTCTTTGGATTCCTTTTGTTTGGAGTTCTGTGTGCTTCCTGGACTTGTAAGTCTAATTCTTTCACCAGGTGGGGGAAGTTTTCTGTCACTGTTTTTCAGTATGTTTTCGATATCTTGCTCTCTCTCATCTTCTGGGACCCGCATAATTCTGATGTTGGTTCGCTTGAAGTTGTCCCAGAGGTTTCTTACCATATATATTTTTTAATATATTTTATTGATTTTTTTACAGAGAGTATGAGAGAGGGATAGAGAGCTAGAAACATCGATGAGAGAGAATCATCGGTCAGCTGCCTCTTGCACGCCCCCTATTGGTGATGTGCCCGCAACCAAGGTACATGCCCTTGACCGGAATTGAACCTGGGATCTTTCAGTCTGCAGGCCTACGCTCTATCCACTGAGCCAAACCAGTTTCGGCAGGCCTCCATATTTAGGGATAAACCAGGCTTTCCCCAGCATGGTTTGCTAAGTTTGTCTCCACGCTGTGGCTCACGAGGCCTCCCCTGTTGCTTCTGTACTAGGCCTTGTTGGTGTCCAAACCCCAGCTCTTTTCTGCCTTCATAAAATGAGGCTAATGCTTCGTGCCACCTGAGCTGTGGTACAATCTTTTTTTTAAGAAATTTTTTTAATATATATTTTTATTGACTTTTTTACAGAGCGGAAGAGAGAGTGATTGAGAGTTAGAAACATCGATGAAAGAGAATCATCGGTTAGCTGCCTCTTGCACACCCCCTACTGGGGATGTGCCCGCAACCAAGGTACATACCCTTGACCAGAATCGAACCTGGGGCCTTTCAGTCCGCAGGCTGATGCTCTATGCATTGAACCAAACCGGTTTCGGCAAGCTGTGGTACAATTAAGAGGTCGCCTTTTGCATCTGGCACCTGGCATGAGGCAGGCATTTGGCTAATATGAGTTCATATTTCTTCCCGGCCCTGCCCCGCTCACCTTCCTATCCCTCCCCAGGACTTGAGCTCTGCTGAACTCATTGCTGGCCTGCGGCCTCCCTGGCGCTTGGTGGCAGAAGTGATTTCTTCCCCAATTCACAAGCTTTGCTGGAGCTTTTGGTGTCCTAACCCTTTGCTCCGGTGGAACCTCCTCTCGGGTGCTAGCCTTAATGCCTGGCCACTCCCTTCCTCCGTGTTCCCCAGCGCCCCTGTGCTCATCCCTCTCACAGCCCTGCTCACACTCGTGTGTAGTCGCTGCCTGTTTCCCCGCCCCTCGTGCAGTTTGCGAGCTGATGGAGGCCGGAGAGCAAGTCTGATTCATTTCTCTGGCCTCCTTGCCAGCCCTAGGTCTGACTTAGCAGCTGCCTGTAACCCTTTGCTGGATAAATAAGCAGGAGGCCCCCTCTTCCCCTTTGATGTCCTCTCCCCACCCCCACCCTCACACTTAGGGCAGGAGGTTGCTGGGTGCCTTTCTGTCTTAGAACTTCTGTCCAGTCCAGTCTCAGGCTACAGCCATAGTTGCAGCTGCACTGCTGGAGACCCCCAGCTGGGAGATGGTGACCCCGTTTGGCAGGGATGGGTTTGGGAGAGCTGGTTGGAGTGTGCTCACCCACAGCCTCTGGGGCAGGAGGGGCACCCGGACTGCTGGAATGTTGTGCCCAAACAAGAGTCTGTGCGCTTCCCATGGAAGCCCATTAAGGGCTTCCCGGTGCCTGTGTCATCTCTGGAAAGCCAGCCAGCCATACCTTCCCGGGGTGTGGGCCCTGGTGGTGGGGCTGCTGGGTATTTCCCCACCCCCACCCCCTCCTGTCCAGCCACTCACCGGGGACTTTCTGAGGGTCTCTCAGTTGTACATCTGTCTGTGCTAGGCTCCCTTCTTCTCTGACTGGTGGCCACCTCCCCAGTATATGGTACACTATTTACAAGGCCTTTTCTGGCTCTGAGGCTCCTTTGATCGTCTTGACAGCTCTTTCAGGTATATCCCACATCCCCCATTTGATATGAAACTGAGACTTGGAGTGTTACGGTAGCTCCCCAAAATCCTGCAGTGAGTGAGTGAGTGACAGAGCTGGGGTTGGAATCCAGAGCTTTGACATCTAAACCCTGGGCTTCCCATTTCGCAAGGAATTTCTCTCACCTGAGCTTGGGGGAAAAGGCCTGCAGAGAGGCGATCCCCTCTGGTTGGCAATTGCCTGGATCCTATAAATATCTCCAGGCAGCGCGGCTTGGGATTTTTGGTCCCCAGTCCTGATGCTGGATCAGGCTGGCTTCTCCTCATGGCCAGCAGAGGGCGTGAGTGGCCTGGGAAAGATGTTGCTTTTGGTTTGTTTGGGTTTGAAGTGACACGTGGACATTCTACTTTTTTTTTTTTAATAGACTTTTTTTTTTTTTAGAGCAGTTTTAGATTGACAGCAAAATTGAGCAGAAGGTACAGGGAGTTTCCCTATACTTCCTATCTCCACACGAACATAGCCTCCTCTACTATCAACACGCCCTGTCAAAACGATACATTTATTACAATTGATGTACCTACATTGACACATCAGACTCACCCAAAGCCTGGCTCCTGGCAACCCTGGGCCATTTTTGTAAACAACTTCCAAGTGTTTTTTGGGGCCTCATCTTGGTTACATTCTAGGAGTTAGGACACCGTCCTAGTACGCAGAGTAGCTTCGTTGCCTTAGCAGTGCTCTGTATTCTGTCTACTCATCTCAGCATTATTTTAAAAAAACAGCCTTCGTACAAGTTCACTTAATCTGAAACTTTGGGGCCAAATGTGCCTTGGAAATTGAGAAAATTTTCAGAATTTAGAGCACTCACCTGGTGTATGCTGTTCCTGTAACACCTCCAGGGGGGCCTGTGGAAGACAAACACCGAATGTTTCAATATTCATCTCCAAGGGGGTAGCTGGGTTCTCATCAGCTCAGCTCAGGCAATGATGCCAAATAAGTTAGGTAAAGTCTTTTGGCTTTCAAAGCTTTTTGAGTTAGGGGATTTTGGATGAGTGATTACATATCCCTTATAAAGGAGGAGGTGAAGTCAAGTCACCTGCAATGGCAACACTTAGGGATAATATTTTGTTCCATAGCCTTCCCAACTTTGTATGCATATGTGTTTGTGTAGCTATGCATATACATATATGCTAAATGCATTGACTCACAAGTAAAATCATACTTCGCATACATTTTGCCTTACACAAGATCTTGGCATTCCTGAGCTATATGTGGGATTCAAGATCTTAGCAATCATTCCCTTCTCAACATCTCTCCTCCCCTAGACTGGCTAGAGGGTCCCCAGGTGAGCTACTGGAGGTAGAGCCAGGTGTCGCCCCCCAGCCAGCTCCCCATTCCTGCCAGCCCTGGGCCTCTGGCTGCCTGTGGGAAGGTCCAGCGTGGATTCCCAGCATGGTCAGCAGGAGGCAGAACGCAGCTGGGAGCAAGTCTTCGGCTCACACAAGGCCGGGCTCCTTAAAGGGTCTCCTCCTGCTCCACATGCATGGAATGGACAAACAGGGCTGAGAACTTGACCCTGCCAATCAGCTGGGCCCCTCAGGAGCCCGAGGGCAGCGCTCTGGGGAGGGGGTGCAGGCCTTTCCTGTTGCTGACCCCCACACCTCTTCCCTGCAGCAGGAACACTGGTTTGAAAAGGCCCTGCGAGACAAGAAGGGCTTCATCATCAAGCAGATGAAGGAGGACGGCGCCTGTCTCTTCCGGGCTGTAGGTGAGTCTCTGCCTCAGCCTTCAAGGGCCCAGGGCTGCCCCTGCGTGTCCCAGTTGTCAGGAGGAACCTGAGACAGGGTTGGGGACAGAGTTAACTGGTCTTTTATGGACTCCAGGCCACAGCCTCAAACGAATCTGGCCTCTAGTCTTTGTCATCAGGCAGTGTGGCGGCATGAGAGGACTAATAGCAGCAATGACAGTGATAAGGAAAGTAGCTAGTTAGGGACAGACTGCTCCATCAGGCACCACAGGAAACCCTTGCAACTCTTCCCTAAGCTGGGTGACTGTTGGGACCATTGCTTCCATTTGTCAGATGAGAAAAGCAGCTCAGAGATGGAGAGTGGCTTGCCCAGGGTCAGGTAGTACATGGTAGGTTAGTCTGAGGGCTAAAGGTTAGTCTGGGGGCTCTTAACTACAGCATACTACCCTCACTTTGGGATAATAGACCTTCTCTTTTTAACTTACACAAAAGTAGAGACAATAGTGAACCTTCATGTACCCATCATTCATCTCCCAATTAGTCATCAACACATGGCCAGCCCTGTTTCATCACTATCCTGCCCACTCTTTATTACTATCCTGAAGTGAGTATTTTTTTTTAACTCTTTAAAAAAAATTTTTTTTAATTAATTGATTTTGAGAGAGAGAAACAGAGAGGGAGAGAGAGACATTGATTTGTGGTTCCACTTGTACATTGGTTGGTTGATTCTTGTATGTGCCCTGATCAGGGATCAAACCTGAAACTTGGCATATCGGGATGATGCTCTAACCCAGTGGTTGGCAAACTCATTAGTCAGCAGAGCCAAATACCAACAGCACAACGATTGAAATTTCCTTTGAGAGCCACATTTTTTATTTTTTTTTTTTTTTTTTTTTTTTTTTTTTAATCAATCTTTATTGTTCATATTATTACAAAGGTTCCTCATTTCTTCCCCCCTCCACCAGGTTCCCACCCCACCCTCTGCCCCCTCTCCATCCCCCATTGTCCTCATCCATAGGTGCAGTTTATGTTCAGTCTCTTCTTCCCTCAATTTCCCCAATAGTAAATCCCTTTTCAGATAGTAAATCAGTTACTTAGCATTTTCTCATATCAATAATACCTCCACATGCCCAATGATACACTTCACACAAAAGACATTTCCCAATAGGTCCACCAGCCTCATCCAGGCCCCACCCAAGGCACTCACAGATCAACACCCCAGTCCTAAACTAACTCAACACATCCAGATCTAAGCCTTCATCACTTGATTCAGCAGACCCTCAAGTTTCCACGAAAGTTTCCAGCCATGTCTGAGAAGCAGCTGTGGGGCAGTGAGAGCCACATTTTTTAAACGTAAACTTCCTCTAATGCCACTTCTTCAGCATAGACTCGCCCAGGCCGTGGTATTTTATGGAAGAGCCACACTCCAAGGGCTAAAGAGCCGCAGTTTGCCGACCACGGCTCTAATCAATTGAGCTACCAGGCCAGAGCTGAAACAAGTATTTTTTGTTGTTGTTAATCTTCACCTGAGGATATTTTTTCCATTGCTTTTTCAGAGAGAGTGGAAGGGAGGGGGAGAGAGAGAGAGAAAGAAAAACATGGGTGTGAGAGAGACAAATCAACAGGTCGCCTCCCGCACACTCCCCGGATCGGGGACAAATCCACAACCCAGGTTACATGCCCCTGCCTGGAATCCAGCCTGTGACCCTATGGTGGAAGGGTTGATGATCTAGCCACTGATAACACTGGCCAGGGTGAAACGAATATTTTTTTTGTAATAAGTGTTTATTTATTTTAGAAAGAAAGGGAGAGAGAAAAGCATCAATGTGAGAGAGAAATATTGATCGGCTGCCTCCTGCACACCCCCTACTGGGAATCTCGCCGGCAACCTGGGCATGTGCCCTGATTGGGAATTGAACTGGTGACCTTCCAGGGCATGGGACAGCGCTCAAACAAATCACCCACCAGCCAGGGCTGAAATGGGTATTTTTAAAGCAAAATCCCAACATTAGGTTATTTCATTCATAAATATTTCTGTATGTTTCTCTGACTGATAAAGTCCCAGTTTCTTCCTCTGTCTCTCTCTCTCCCCCTTTCTCCCTGTCTCTCTCTCTCAACATAACCAAAATGCCATTATCGTACCTAACACAATCAATAACTGTATAATATCATTTACTCTCCACGCTAAATCCAACAAGCCGTCCTGAGGCCCTGTGCTAGCTAGCTTCCAGGGGAAGCTGGGAGTCTGATCCCATCTTCCCTTTGAGGTTCCTCCATCTGCCCTAAAAGGCGCCCTTGTTAGGAGGTCTGAGCTGGGAGTCAGAAGCCCTCAGCACTATCCTCGTCCCGTCTGTGAAGTAGGATTGACTCTGAAGGGCTCCTTCGATCCCTTCTGGGTGCACCCCCTTCCCCTGGGCCTGCGAGTGGGCTGGGCTGACCCAGGCGCCACCCCAGGCTGTGCCACTGATTGTTTGCAGGACCTTGGGCAAGCAGCTTTTTTTTTAAATCTTGAGCCTGTTACAACCTAGTAGCCGTTCAATGAGATTTCAGTAAATCCCTTCAGGGCCTGAGAGCATAGGAGCCCCTTGGGGAACTTAGCCCCGATAAAGCCTGGATGCTCCTCAGCGATGCCCGGAGCCACAGATGTTCGTTGAGCGGGTGAAAGAAAGATGTTTAGGTGGGGTCAGGGGTTGCCTCCCCCTTTCTCCCACACGGGAGGTTTGGGCAATGGCCTCTGCTGGGCTGGAAAATCCCAACCCCCCCCCCCCAGTTTATGCCGTTTATGCCTGTGTTCTCCCTGAGATGTTTCCCAGAGCAAGAGTTCAGGTTTAGAGTCATTGGACCAAAGAACGCACAGGCGGGGGTCTGTTCTGAGAATCAGGCTGGTTGCCGGGTGAGCAGGGCTTCTGGTGGAGTGAGGGGCAGGGAACGCAGCTGGGCAGCTGGGTCTTGAACGGTCTTTGAGGCAGACCTTGGCGCTAGCGATAACCGGGCTTGTGCAGCAACCCATATGAAGAGCAATATTTGCACATGTGTCCATTTAGCTGTTTTCCCCACACATCCTCTGACCCTTCCCCCTGTTGGGGCCTTCCAGTAAGAGGCTGGCGCTGACAGGAAGCGCTGACCATGGCAGGTTGAAGGCCTTTTCTTATCAGCACTATGGCTATACATTTCCCCTGACTGAGCTGCCCTTGGCTTTTTTCCAGAAAAACCTCAGAAGCCCAGCGGTCGGGCCTCTGAAGTGCGCGGCCCCTGGGTCTCTGGGCCTCGTATGGAATTTTCCCCGGGGCAGAGTGCACACGACCAGTGCAGACCAGACCTGTGCGTGGGAAGGGGACTTTGCCCCCTGGCTTTCTGCTTCCAGCCGAGCTGGGACAGGGACAGGGACAGGTGGCAGTTGCCCTGGGCTCCGGCGAGAAGGCTGCAGGTTCTCACTTCCGGCCACACACACAACAGTCGAAGGAGCACACCACTGAGGGTGGGAGTTGGCGGGGGGATTGCGGACCCAGGGGACACCCTGTCACTCCTGGACCCTGACTCTTTGCTGGGCATTCAGCTGGCTGCTTCAGCTTCGTCTGTCCAGTTGGGATTCTTATATCCCCACGAGACAGCTGGGAAGGTTGAGGCTCACGAAAGGGAAATGACACGCTCAGGTCATCAGTGGCAGCGCTGGCATGGGAACCCAGAGGTGCCGAAGGGCACATTCTTTCCGCGGCCCTAGGAAAGCCCTCGCTTTTTAGTTTGGCTCTCAACGGGCTGGGTGACCTCAGCTGCAGTCCTTGACCTCTCTGGGCCTTCCTTACTCCAGCGAGGAGCCCGTGGGCCTCTGCTGCTGGGAATTCTGAAGCAGGCGACTTTCTGCCCTCTGGGCTGCCTCGGAGGTCTGGGCGTCCCCAGTGTGAACCACTATCCGCTGCCTGTGCCCAGTTCTCTCCCACCACCCCGCCGGGGGCTTGTGAGCATCAGCGAAGGCGGGGTGGGATGGAAGTGGGAGCCTGAGCTCCAGGGGTATCCTGTGGGCCACCCTGCCCCTGCTCTGCTCAGATAACCTCCTCCTGGAAAAGTGAGTCTGCAGCTCTCCTCCCCTCTCGGCGTACGCTTTGACTCAGCAAAACCTCCGGCCCAGGCCTCTGTGGGCAAAGTGGAGGCCACAGAGTGTGTGTCTGCATGGGCCAGGGAGAAGCAGATGGGGTGGGGGAGGTGACAGCAGTGAGGCCCACAAACAGTAGCCAGGCCCCCTCCTCTGGGCCTTTTTGGGTTGGAACTTGGGCCCCTAGCATTGGAGGGACGGATCCCAGATCAGTGTAGACTATTTTATAAACGGGGAAGCTGGGACCTCAAGAGAAAGCCAGGGCCCTACTATCTAGGTCACACAGGCAGGTGTGAGGGCATTGGTGTTTGAGGTTGGAGAGCCAGGCCAGAGGGAGAAGGTCTCCAGGCCAGATTCCATTGGTCTTTGCCCTGCCTCCATCAGTCTTTCCCTCGGGCCACGGGAGGCCCTGAGGAAAAGAGCAGGCATTCCAGAGACCAGGCTATGGAGAGGCTAGGCCTCCGCTGTCCTCCCCACCGAGTCTGCCACCTCTGGGGCAGCTGGAGCCCCTGTCCAGGCGTGCACCACAGCTGCCTGACAGGCAGGTGCCCCCCCCCCCGGCTCTTCTCCTCAGAGGGGCTGGGGTTGCCACTGGGCCAGGAGGGAAGTGGGAACAAACCAGGTCCCTGTCTCCCTGAGCTGCTGTGTGTACACATTTGTGTGGTTTGTTTTTAGATTTCCTGCAGACACCAAGCTTCCTTTTCTATTCTCAGCGGAACTTGCTGGGGCTCTCTTAGCAGGCGGCAGGCGGCAGGCAGGCAGGCAGGCAGGAGCCTGGCAGGGAGGCACTGCTCAGGGGTCTCTGAGGCCCACGGCGGGGCCCTGTGCGGCCGCTCCCTTGGGTAGTCCCGGCTCTCCCGGCTTGCTCCTCCACGTAACCACCCGGCACACAGTGACTACATTTCAGGGAACCCGAGGAGGGTTAGAGACCTCCTGCAGCAGTGGAGGGAGGTTGTGGCAAGTCTGTTCCTGCTCCTGGCTCTTCTCCCCTCCCCCCAGCCCCTGGCAAAGGCCAGGAAGGAGGGGGCAGGGTCCTCCGTTGGCACAGCCTTGCATCTTGTCCAGCATCTTGGCTGCAGGGGCATCCGCTTGTGGACTAGGATGGTTCTCTGTAGTTGCAAGGGCTGTCGTGTGGGAATTGGGCCTCGGGGAACATCTCTGGCAGGACCTGCCGGCTGTGTGTGCGCGCATGGACATTTCTAGGCCGGTGACTGTGTGCTCAGAGAGAGGACGGTGGGGGGGGGGGGTGTCTGAGGAGGTGGGGTTCTTGCTGACCTCTGTGGCCTTAGTGAGCGGTATAGCCCCTGATATTTGTAATCTCTGCCCACTCCCAGGCCTTTCCAGCTGATTCCTGCTTGCGCTGGTGGGGAAACTGAGGTAGACAGGATCAGGCCTGGCCCCTGAGTCAGGTGGCTGAGGTGATAGCGGGATTGGAGTGGTGGTACTGTCTTCTTGGCTATCAGTGCTTGAAGTCCATCCGAGAGAGCCTGGCCTCCTCTTCACCCTCCCAAACGTGTGCCGGTGGGCCAGCTGTGCCACATTCTGGACCTCAGCGTCGCCCCTGTGTACAGTCAGGTGTCTGGGGGTGAGGATAGAATGAGTTGGGATGTAAAGGGCTTTGGGGGAACCAGTTCTAGTGCTGGATTGAGGGTGTCCAGTTCTGTCGGTCGGGGACGGAGGGGAGGCAGTGGGGAGCCCTCTTCCAGCTGGACTCGGGAGGGGAGAGCAGGTGCGGACTGCCCGCAAGTGCAGCGTCAGCAAGAGGCGGGGTTTCGGTTTCTATCAAAACAAGTTCTCTGAATTCCCCTACCTCTGCAAGTCCATCGGGCCCTCTCCCACCTTGGCCCCCACAGGGAAGTCCAGCCCCGTCCCTAGCCTCTGTGCCACCTTCTGGGAGGAGGAGGGCTGTCAGGACGAAGGCGGGACTAGCAGAGTCAGGCAAGAGCCTCCTCAATGAGACTTCCTGTGTTCTGAGGCAGCTCTGGGCATCTTTCCCGCCTCGTATCGTCAGAAAGGTCCTTCCACTCTCCCTTCGTGTCCTTGGTCCCGAGGAGCATATATCCTTCCTCAGTAATGATTCCTAAACTAGGGTGCATCTTCTAATCCGTGAGCTTGGTGACCTCCCTCCTGCAGCTGGCCTGAAACACATGTTATCATATCACCTGTCAATGCAACCTAGGATCGAGGAGAAAAGGTTATATTTTGCATGTGATTGCTAAGCAGGGGAAGGTCATCTTTGCCCACATTGAAGGACCCTGTTACGTGAAGCCTATACTATGGATTTGACATTAATCTGGTGACTAAAGGTTTACAGACCTATGATTGCAGACCGTGGGTCTGCGGCCCTTCGGCGTCATAAAGGTCGAGTGCCGGTCCCCAGGTTTGGGGCTTTCCTCTGGCTGAGGAAGTACAACAGAAACGAGGAAGGGCTGAAGTGGTTCCGGTGACATTCTAGCTGACTTGTGGGTAGCCAGCTACCTGAAGGCGTCATCACCTTCCTCATGACAAATGAAGCCCGTCTCTGGAACACCTCCTGTGCCTCAGAGGTTTGGCCAAGCATCCCCTGTAGTCTTGACAGCGCCCGTGAGAGGAAGAGGAGTTACTCTCTCCGCCTTTGGATGAGGCTACTGCAGCCCAGAGAGGTTAAGGGCCTTGTCCAGTACCACACAGCCGGGAGGCAGCAGAGCCCTTCTGCCCACAAAGGGGTCAGTGGCAGGGAAATGCAGGGACCCCTTGAGGGTCCCGTCCGTGTCCCACAGTCTCCCTCGTTTTCCTGTGTTTTCTTGCATCCGGCATGGAGCTCAGGTCCATGTGTCTATTAGGCCGGAAATGCCGAACTGACCCTTCCCTAGAAACAGCTCAGCCATCTCTCCGAGCCTGGCAGGCCAGTCTCCGCTTAACCCCTTCCCTCCCATCTCAGTTCCTGTTTACTGCAGCTGCCCACAGCACTGCCTCCTCCACACCCAGGCCCATCCTACAGAAATAGCTTGTCAAGCAGCTCTGGCAGGCAGGCAGCCACAGTGGGCTCTGTGGTCCTGGCTTCTAAGAAAGGCAGCAGCAGGGGGCCCCCAGCCGGTGCGCAGGACATGTGACTTGCTGGAAGTGCCACTGGGGGGGGGGGCAGGGCAGAGTATAGCCACAGAACCCACATCCTTGTTTACATCAGTGATGGGGCTATCCCTTCCCGCCTTCATGCCCCATATCCCCCTCACCCTCAGGTCCCTGCACACCTCCAGGAAGACTTGAGAACAGGCCTGGGCCCCTGCATTCTATCTCAGAGCAGGCTTTCTCTCCTATCTCACAGAACCCTCCAGGGAGGGCAGGGGAGGGCAGCGAAGGCGTTCTTCTGGCGGTTCTTCACCGAGGTAGCCTGGCTGTCATGGGAGAATTCTGCCCCTGCCCCAGGGAGATCCTCTGGGGAGACAGAGGGAAATTCCCTCTTCATCTTAGGGGGTGAAATGTGGCCTCATCTTCAAGCCCACCTTAGCTTCCCGGGGAGAAGCCTCGGCTCCCTGAGTTTGTTCCTGCCCTCAGTTCCCTGAGCTGTATTGGCCCCGGGCTGGGAGGAGACTTGAATGAGAATTGCCCTCAGTAGGAGCCCCGTGTGATCAGGCAGATGGCTTCTGTACACATATCTGGTAAACCTGGAGCTAGAGGTGTCCAGGAGAGGGGGGAGCTATTAAAGGACATATTGGTGTTGGATGGGTAGCCAGTGCAGCAGTATGGATGGGGCGTCCTGAATGAGGGAAGGAATGTGTGAAGACCCTCAAGTCAGGCAGAGGGGAGCCTGCGACTTAATCGGACTAAAACTCCATCATGCCTGAGCCATTCGGGCCGCAGGCTGCCAAAGTTAGGTGCATGTGTATTTCTCTCTCTCACTAGACTGTGTGCTTCAGGTGGGCAGGGGCAGGCTGTTACTAAGCTCTGTCACCTTCATAGCACCCCACCGTTAGGCCCTGGGGAAGGGGCCTCTGATTTACTGAGGGACTGCTCCGTCTCCAGCCCAGTGCTGGTCACGTTACACCCACTATCTCATTCATCTCACCAGACGTCCTGCCAAGGAGCTATCCAGCTTGTTCCTGTTTTACACGTGAGGCGGGTGAGGCTCGGAACACTTGGGTCACTTGCCTCTGGTCATTTAGCACTGGTACTTGGCAGAACTGGGCTTAGAGCCCAGCTGTTTTCCTTTTCCTCTTTCTTTTTTTTTTTTTAAACCTACAAAGGCTGTGCTGACTCCAGGAAGCTAGGTACACTACTGAATTCTAGACGTGAACTGGTCGCACACTGACTTTCTGTGTGAACTTGGTCAAGCCACAAACTCTCCCTGAGCCTGCTTCCTCATGTGAAGAGTGAAGGTGGGGGTATGGAGTGGATAGTGCTTCGGGCCACTTAGGGGACTGAAATGTTTGTTGACCAGTCTGAGCAGCCATCCAAGCCCTAGACAAAGCCATCTGCATGAGAGGCCTGTGGTTGTGTCCCTCTCGCCTGTACTCTTGTTCAAAACTGTCCATGTTTGCCTTTTGTTCCATGATGCCGTTCCAGCCCGCAAAGCCAAGAACTCTCCGGGCCCTGGGGTCGGAAAGGAAGTTGCCCCGGCCCCAAGCTCTTCACCCCAAGGATGTCCTGTGACCTAGAACTCTTCTCTGCTGCCAGTTCTAATCCCAGCTTCTCCTTCCTTCTGCCTCCACAGCTGACCAGGTGTACGGAGACCAGGACATGCATGAGGTTGTACGAAAGCACTGCATGGACTATCTGGTGAGACTTCGTGGCGACCTCGGGGTAGGGGCAGAGTGGGAGGATCTCCTCCCCACACTGACCTCGACCCTCTGATCTGTTGTGCAGATGAAGAACGCAGACTACTTCTCCAATTATGTCACGGAGGACTTCACCACCTATATCAACCGGAAACGGAAAAACAACTGCCATGGCAACCACATTGAGATGCAGGCCATGGCGGAGATGTACAACCGGCCTGTGGAGGTGTATCAGTATAGCACAGGTACTTCTGTGGTGGGTAGGTGAGCGACTGATGGACCTGGTCTGAGCCTGCCCACCCCACCCTGCCATGCCACGCCACGCCACGCCCCCTGTGGATGCTACTTCCTTCTCTTTTCTGCAGAACCCATCAACACATTCCATGGGATCCACCAAAATGAGGACGAACCCATCCGTGTCAGCTACCACCGGAATATCCACTACAATTCAGTGGTGAATCCCAACAAGGCCACCATTGGCGTGGGGCTGGGCCTGCCGTCATTCAAGCCGGGGGTAAGTATGTCACCATGCCCAAGATGGCTGTTGGATTTCGAGGCCAGAAACCTTTGTTTGGGTCTCCGTTTTGCTCCTAGCCCACAAAAATGCCCTGTCCCCTCTCTGAGTGGCCTCTGAGTCTCACCTCTGAAATCAGGGAGTCACCCAAGGACATCTCAGGGCTCACTCTGTGGTCTGTTTGTCTGAGCTGCTCACCCATCTTTGTGTCTACGGAGGGTTGGCATTTTGGGATACGGAGTCATATTAGGAACCATGAGCTAGGGCTTGGTCTGGGTGTCTAAGTCCCCACATGGGTCCTCCTCTGAAACCCTGCAGTTATAGACATCTGTGGTTACGGAGACTTGGAGTTCAGGCCTGGTCCCAACGCTTCCTGGCTGTGGGACCGAGGGCAGATTCACAAGTCATTTGGGCTAGCAGCTTGGCTGATTCAGACAACGCCTAGCGCTGGGCCTGGTGCCTACGAGGAGCTCAGATGGTGGCAGTACACTCCCAGCACACACTGGAGCTTCTCATTCTCGTTCATAAATATTCGCCTGCTGGGGGTTTTGATATCTCCTATTCAGGTGTCACTTCCTACAAACAGAAAGTGCTCCTGCCTCATTGTAGGAAACACACACCCTAATACCAACACACCCTCCAGCATCAGGGTTTGTTTTTTTTTTTGTTTTGGTTTTTAAATACACTTTTAATTTTAGAACACGCTTCGATTTTAACAGAATTATTACGCTCAGAGAATTCCCATATACCCAACTATGATTAACATCTTATTAGCATAGTACATGTGTCACAGTTAAGGAGCCAATATTGGTAGATTAACTAAAGGCCATACTTGATACAGAATACCTCAGTTTTTCCCTAATGATCTTATCCGTTCCAGGATCATATTACACTTAGTTGTCGTCATGTCTCCTTTGGTTCCTTGACTGTGACAGTGTCTCTGGATTTCCGTGTTTTTGTTTTCGATCTGTTTACAGACTCTATCATTTCACCTTTTCTAGAATGTCATCTACTTGGAATTATACAGTATATAGTTTTTTCAATGTCTTGTTTCACATAACACTGCATTTAAGATTTTCTTATTTGATCGCTTTTTTTTTTTTTCCTTTTTACAAAAATGTGAAGGCCTTAAGCTTACAGAAAAACTAAGGAAGATAGTTCGGAGTTCCCTGCACCCCTCCTTCCCACACAGTTTTGCTACTAACCTATCATGACTGTGACTCCTTTGTTACAATATATGAACCAGTATTGGCACATTATTAGCTAAAGTCATCATGTCTCTTTAGGCTCCTTTGTGAAGGTTTCTCACCCTTTCATGTTTTTGATGGCCTTGACAGTTTTGAGGAGTACTGGTCAGGTATACTGTAGGATGTCTGTCTTTTGGAATTTGTTGTTTTTCTCATGATTAGACTGGGGTTACAGGTTGCAGGAAGGAAGATCACAATAGTGAAGTGCCATTCTCATCACATCATATCAACAGTATGTACTGTGAACATGATTTGCGATTTGCTCTTGCCAGCAGTAGTGTTTGCATGAAATCACTCCTCCCTTCCCTTCACTCCCTTTTCTACTGTGCACTGTTTGGAAGGAACTCATTGTAGGCAAACTACACTTAAGAAGTGGGTGTTGCCCTGGCCAAGCAGCTCAGTCGATTAGAGCATCTGCCTGACAGGTCAGCCAATGAATACATAAATAAGATGTTTCTCTCTCCCTCTCCCTCTAAAATCAATAAATTAAAAATATTTTTTAAAGAAAAAAAAATGAAGTGGCTGTTGTGCTCCATCTCCTTGAGGGCAATATATTCACAAAAATTATTGGAATTCTTGCAAGGGAGATTTGTCTCTTGTCCTCCATTTATTCAGCCATTTGCTTATATCAATATGACTCGGATATTTATTTTATACTTAGGGTTATAATCCAATGCTCTTTTTATTTTGATGCTCAAATTGTTTCAGTTTTAGCTATTGGAAGCTCTCTTAGTTGGTTCCTGTCTCTTAGACATACTCCCTTCAATGTGATGGGGTGTGTGTGTTTGTTTTTGTGTGTGTGTGGTTTTGTTTTGTTTTTAGCACTCCTTTACTTTCTGGTACTAAAAGCATTCTAGGCTCAGCTTGTATATTTCCTTCCCTGGACTTAGAACCAGCCATTTCTCCCAGGGGCCCTGGTTCCATTTATTGGAATGTTCTTGGAAGGCACGATCTGGGTGCTGAGTGCGCTCCTCAGTACTGGGGTGTCCTTCCTTCTAGGTCCTCCCAGCTGACTGAGTAAGGAGATACATATGTGTATACTAACCTGTGCGTATACATATATCCAGAAATATTTCTATGTATACATATCTGTATGAAACCACTGGCCGATCAGTACTGCTTTGTTTTAAACTTTTCAATTTTCTAGTGACAAATGGTGTTGAGCATCTTTGCATGTGAATATGAAATTGTGTGTTAAGATTTTTGCCCGTTTTTAAATTGTCTTATTCTTTTTAAAAATATATATATTTCATTGATTTTTTTGTTTTTTAGAGAGAGGGATAGAGAGTTAGAAACATCGATGAGAGAGAATCATCGATCAGCTGCCTCTTGCACACCCCGCACTGGGGATGTACCCACAACCAAGGTACATGCCTTGACTGGAATTGAACCTGGGACCTTTCAGTCTGCAGGCCGACGCTCTATCCACTGAGCCAAACCGGTTTCGGCAAATTGTCTTATTCTAATAGAGAATTTCAGATACTTTTTGGACTGTTATCCATAGGTAGAAAATTATATTTCACATCATTACTTTGTGCACACACACATTGGTGTGCAGTATATGTCTATTAAAATAATGTTAGAATTTTGCTAAACAATACTCACCTTTACTCCCTGGGATATGCTCTGATATTTTCTATTATTTTGGTTTTTAAAACGCAGTTGCATCTCACAGTCTTAACAAAGAGCACTCAGACAGTGTCCCACATCTCATCGCACCTCACGTCATGCTAATACTCCTCCTGTCCCCTTAATACCTGACTGCTCCCTCCACCCTGTGCACAGACAGCTAACTCTCAGGGGATCTTTCCTCCTTGTGCCATCTGAGCACGATGAGGAAGGCCTCCACATTGGGAAGCTGCCATCACTGGGTAAGGCGTCTTTAAACTCCAGCCTAGGCTGGAGGGCACCTGGTTGCCCAGACTGAGTACTTCACTTGAGTTGTCTTGGGGTTGGGAGCAGGGCTTCGGAGTATAGGAGTTTGGAACTACTAGTCCCACCACCCAAGCCTGCTTCTCCCCAGTCCCTGGTGGATAGGCACCCTGCCCAGGGGGTGCTTAGTAAGAGCACCTGCCTTCCTCTCTCCTCTTCCTGGGCCTGTGGGCCTACCTCCCTGGGCCAGATCCAGCTGCTGGCCAGGGTTCAGTGTCACCCCACTTCCTTGTTCCTCCCGCCTTTGCAGTTTGCAGAGCAGTCCCTGATGAAGAGTGCCATAAAGACATCGGAGGAGTCCTGGATCGAGCAGCAGATGCTAGAAGACAAGAAGCGAGCCACGGACTGGGAGGCCACGAACGAGGCTATTGAAGAGCAGGTGGCTCGAGAATCCTACCTGCAGTGGCTGCGGGATCAGGAAAAGCAGGCCCGCCAGGTCCGCAGCTCCAGCCAGGTAGGTCCCAGGCTCTGTCCCTGGCCTGGCCAAGAAGCCATTTCTTCTCCAGCTCTGTCCCAAACAGGCAGAAAGTGACGCCGTTTTGGCATCTGGGAGAGAAGGAAGCTCCCAATCCTATCTGTACCTCATCTTGGCCTTGGTCTTGGCAGTGTGCCTTAGAACTCTCAACATCTGTGCAGGACAAGCTCTTAAGGAGTGAGAGCGGGAGAGCAGTGACCGGTGGTGGAATACAGGATGGGTGGATAGTTTGATAGGGACAAGCTTTTGCTGAATGTCCTTGTGCACCAGGCTCTGTGCTGAGAATATAAAATCAGGTCCAGCCCACTCCGCCCTCAGCGGTCCCCTGTCCATTGAGGGAAACGGAGGCATCAGTGGGGCCCCTGACCGTGGGTAGGAGACCAGTGGAGATGGGGCTCCAGTTAGTATTCACACAGGAGGGTTAAACCTGTCAGGGCAGGGACAGGACAGGATATACAGACATCCGAGGAATCACAAAGAGTTTAGCGTGATTGTAGATGTTGGCAAGCGCTGAGTTAGTTGTTCAACAAATATTTATTGTAGGTCTATGCCTGTACTGTTCTGGGTGTACAGAGGTGCACTGGTGAGCCAGCAGGCCCACGTCCTGTCCTTGTGATGCTTGCATTTTTGCAAGAGTGGGACAAAATAAACAGCAAATATGATGAATACATTGGTGTAGAGGTGGTATGGATGGAAAAAACAGAGAGAAAAGGGAATAAGTGGGGCTGGGAGTTTACAGTATTAACTAGTGTGGGCATAGTGGGCCCCAGGACAGGGGAGATTTGAGCAAACACTAGCCATAGGTGAGGGCAGTGGCTAAGGGCATGTGCCCAAGCAGAGAGAGGACCAGCTAGAGCAGAGGCCCTGAGGCAGCACACGCCTGCTGGGGTTCGGAGCGGCCAGAGGCCAGCGTGGCAGGATGGAAGTCAGAGGGGCAGTGAGGCCGGAATGGGAAGGGACCCGTGGGCTGTGGTGAGGACTTGGGCTTTTGTTCTGAGCGAAGCAGACTCATTGGGGGGCTGTGAGCAAAGGCAGCAAAGGCGGATTAGGATCTGACTTAGGGTTTAACAGGTTGCAGGACGCAGTCTGAGTGGCAAGGGTAGAACAGGGGACCCGTGCGGAGGAGCTGCTACAGTAGTTCAGGTGGCACAGGCAAGAAGGGGGGAGAGTTGGGAGGCACTCTGGGTCTGTTTTGAAGGCGGAGGTTTCCTATCAGCTGGCTGTGAGGGCGTGAGGAGGGTTAAGGAGCTTACCTCCATCCTCGGGTCCATTGTGTGACTGGGAGTGATGGTGACCCAGGTAGAAGCTGTGTCGCAGCCGGGACTCCCGGGGATGGGGCAGAGGAAGGCTGAGGCTGTTGTAGGTTCTTACCTCTTACTCCTTCCTTTCCCACAGCAGCCCCGGAAAGCCAGTGCCACATGCACTTCCGCCACAGCAGCCGCCTCCAGTGGCCTGGAGGAGTGGACTAGCCGGTCCCCGCGGCAGCGGTCACCTGAGCACCCCGAACTGCATGCCGAGCTGGGCATGAAGCCCCCTTCCCCAAGCACTGTCTTAGCTCTTGCCAAACCTCCTTCACCCTGTGCACCAGGTCAGTGGCGTGCTGACAGGGAGCATGCAGGGCTTAGGAGGTGCCGCCTCAGTCCCGGGCCCTGTCTCTGACTGTCCATCTGCCCCAGGTACAAGCAGCCAGTTCTCAACAGGGGCCGACCCAGCGACTTCCCCCCTCGTGTCCCTCTACCCTGCTCTGGAGTGCCGGGCCCTCATTCAGCAGATGTCCCCCTCTGCCTTCGGTAAGCCGCCTCTGGCCAGGAGCCAGGGCCAGCCGGGAGCTGGGGAGAGATGGAAGGAGCAGTGTGTCTCTGGGGGGTGGCTCTGGAGCCTCTGGCCAGCTCCGCAAGAGAAGAGAATCCTTTAGGCCCAAGAGATCTGCCCCATGGGGGTTCTAAGCGGGTTTATAGGCCCAGAGGAGCCTTCTCATAGGAGCGAGAGGGGCCTGGATGGGCTATTTGCAGGGTCAGGGGTCAGTGAGCGCCGAGGAAAAGGCGCTCCATCATCTTTTCTCCCTTCTTCCTGACCCACAGGTCTGAACGACTGGGATGACGACGAGATCCTGGCTTCGGTGCTGGCAGTGTCCCAACAGGAATACCTAGACAGTATGAAGAAAAACAAAGTGCACAGAGATCCGCCGCCGGACAAGAGTTGATGGAGACCCAGAGACTGGAAACCGTCTCCCAACCCCACCACTCCTGCCCTCCGGTGCCGCCTCACCTCTGGCTTTCTTCCTTCTTGCCGTCTTCCTCCCCCCTCTCGCCTCCTCTCCTCCTCCCCACCTCCCTCTGCCGGCCCACCCCTGCACCTCTCTCTTCGCTGCCGCAGCCATCATTGTCTCTTTCCCAGCTGACGTGCCCTGCTGCCCCCCGCACAGCACCATCCCTGCAACCCACAGGGGCCTCGGGCAAGGGTGCCGAAGGTAGGCGAGAGGCACAGAGACCGCAGCTGGCAGCCAGGCAGCCCCTGAGGAGAGACATTCAGACAAGGAAAGCCTCCCTGACCCCCCATTCCTCCCGAGTTCAGCAGACCTTGGCCCCCCACCTCTGCGACTCTGCCAGGGAAAGTGGGAGGAAGAAGCGGGGGTTCCCCTTCCCAGAACCCTAAGAATGTCTGAGCCTTCAATGTTGACTTTTTTTCTTTATTAAAATGTACTTTTATCTTATAAAATTAACCAGTCACAAATGACGTAGATAACAGCATTGACTCTATGAAGGGGGCATCTCTCCGGTTTGGGGGCAGGCAGGCAGGCAGGGGGGCACGGAGGGCGCCCAGAGACGTGCTGCTGTCTCTGGCCCCCCAGCTCCGTGGAGATGGGCGGGGTCTATAGTACGAGCCAGGGCGGAGTAGGGGGCCAAGGGTAGCAGGTGTCCCACGGGCTTCGGACAATGAAACTCTGACCTCACTGCATTCCTATTGCTTCCACCGCCACCAGTCCCTGCGATCTTGGGCTGGGGGCACCTCTGAGGATGATAGCCGCCACTCAGGATCTGAGTGTGGGGAGTGGGAGCAGCCTTGGCAGATGGGGCACGCGTGCCCTGCAGGTGTTGACAAGATCCGCCATCTGTAATGTCCTTGGCACAATAAAACCAAATGTCAGTTTCCCTGGAGCGCCTCTATTCTGTGTGGGGCAGAGTGTGGGTGTGTGGTGGCGGGGGTGGTCTCTGGGCAGAGCCAGTGTGGGGACAGGCTTCGGCTTGACCTCTGAGGGCCACACGCTCTCCAGGAGGGTCTCTGGGCGCCGTTTGTTCCTGTTTGACTCACGGCTTACTAAGCCACCTCTGGACCGGTTACCACCAAGAAGGCTCCATCCAGCGCTGGCACAGGAGGTAGTCCCTGCCCACCTTCTTTCCCGGGGTGGTTTGGGAGCAGAGGACTGAGCTGAGGGCAGGGACTGAACTTCCAACTCCTCTGCCTGCCTCTTTCGCCACAAATGTTTGCTCTTGTGATCGTTTGATGAGGAAACATTTGCAAAGTACAGTAGAAGCTTCCCATGAGTTCAGTGGAAGGGACCAGAGGGACCTCCCCCGCTGGTTTTAGAAGCTGAGGAATGGCTCAACCCTTTTCTGTTTGTCCTGTCCCCCAGTTCTCTGACAGTTCTGTGTCCCGGCCCTCCCTGGGGGTAAAGCCAAGGCAGAAAAGGATGGCTGGCCCCAGGTTTTGCCACGTGTCTTTTTTGCTGTGCCTCCGTAACGGGGCCCCTGGGGAAGGATGCGTGCCCAACCCCACAGGTGAGAGCGTGGCTGGTCGAGTGGCTGTCGGATGTATGAAATCATTGGTCAAGCATGTGTGTGCTGGCGAGTTGGTTCGAACACTTCCTCAGCTTTTTCTTGCCATTTGGCTTTGGTCATATCACAGGCTCTGAGTTTCAAGTGGCCCATTTGTACAACAGGGGTGATTAATGTCTGCTATCTCACCCTCTGGTTGTGAGCATTGAGAGAGAATGCATATGGTCAACATAATGAATGATGGCACCGTGCCTAGCACATTCCAAAAGCTCAAATGGTTGTAGATATTTATTCTACTGTTGAAATGTAAGCACCATTTGCCCCTGCCTACTTCTTTTTGCCTCCAGTTACCTTGGGCCTATGCCTAGAATTGGCCCTTCTCCTGTCCTGAGCCCCAGACCTTGTCTTTCCAGATGTGTAAGGGTCACCTCCTGAGAAGCTCTGTGTTACCTCATCCACATTCTCCCATCTAGCTACAAATATGTCTTTTAAAAATATGCTTTTTATTGATTTCACAGAGAGGAAGGGAAAGGGAAAGGGAGAGGGAGAGAAACATCAATGATGAGAGAGAATCATTGATCAGCTGCCTCCTGCATGCCCCCTACTGGGGATCAAGCCCGCATCCCCAGCATGTGCCTTGACCAGGAATCAAACCATGACCTCCTGGTTCTTGGGTCGGGTCGACAGTTAACCACTGAGCCACACTGGCCGGGCCAAATATGTCATTACTCCTTTCCCAATAACTGTACTATCAACTTCCTGGGTAAGGGCTATGGTGCCTGACTTATCGATCTCCCACTGTAAGCCTCCCATCAGGTCTGGGAGGCTTACAGTAGACCCCCTAATGAATGTCGGGTGAATAAAGGAGAGTTACATGTGTGTATTTGCTTTGTGGGTGTTGTCTGTGTATATGTTACTGTAGTGAGCTCCAGTCTTTATGCGCATCTCACGGAGTGTTGATAGTTGTGTGTGTGATGAGGGCCTGTTTCCAGGTGTGCCAGCTGATGACAGTTGTGTCTGTTTCTGAGACTGAGTGCATGTCTGTGTGGTTCTGTCTGTGATGGCCATCTGGTTCTTTCTGATGGGTGGCTGTCCGTTGGTGTTCCTGTGATGGATTCTGGACAGCTGTTTCTGGACAACGTCAGTGCTGTATGCCCGTGGGTATATGCATGTCTGTGGCTGGATCTGTCTGCGTCTGTTTTGTGACACTGCCTATCTGTGTGGTTCTACCACATACATATGTCTGCCTTTGCAGCAGTGCATGTGTGTCTCGAGCATCTGTGTGGCTTCCTGTGACAGACTCTGGGACAGTGCAAGTCTTTATGTGACAGTGCACATTTGATGGTGCTGGTGTCTTTGTGACAAGTCCTGGTGGTGTGTCTGATGGCCATTTCTGTGTCATTGTCACATGATAATGTTGGTCTACGTGAGTCTCCGGAGTGCCTGTCTTCCTGTGACTGTGTCTCTGTGTCATTCTGGGACATGACTCTGGCAGCATGCTGCCTGACAGTGGATGTAGCTCTTTGTGACAGTGCGCGTCTGCATGTGTGCCTAAGACAAGTTTACATGAATGTGATGATACGTATTTGTATATATCTCATATGGTACTCTCTCTGGAGTGCATGTCTGTCTTCCTGCAGCATGAGGCCCGGCTCTGTTTTTCTCAAATTTGTGACTAAGGGTATTTTCCCACCTCTCAGCCCCTGTCCTCACCTGGAACACACCCCCAAGCCATCACCACTGGCTTGCTCCCACATCTCAGGAACTGCGCCCCCACCCCCACCCCCGCCCCACTCGCCCTTCCAGATTCTGGACCTGCTGACTGGGCTCAGAGCTGGCTGGGTTTAACCAGGTCTGTCTTAGGTAAATAACTCCAAAACATCCCCACAGGCCGCCTCTCTGATGCTGCCTTTGACCAGCATGCTCTTGTAGTGGTCAGGGGCTTACCCTCCCTGGCAGCTGAACAGGATCTTCCAGGATCCCTGGCTGCAGTTTCGGGGGCAGAGGCCATGGGCCGCCTAACCTAGAGGCCCCTTGTCCATGGTGCATGGATTCTGGATAGCCACTGGCCCAGATTCTTAGGAGCTGGGCCTGCCGTTATCTCCGTGCTCATCTTGAGGCAGCAGCAAACCAGCTTCCTAGGAAAGGAGGGGGTGCAGCTCTTTTTTTAAGTTTTTATCTATATATACATATAGTATACGCACAAATATAAAAACAACCAAAACAAATGCAGTTACTGCATAGGGATTCCCAGAACCGGTTTCCTCTTCGCGCGCGCCCCCTCATTTGCATGTAGACCCCGCCCCCACGGAAGATCCGGGCGCGTATTTGCATAAGGGTACTTGAGACCTGGAGGGTGGTATGCAAATGAGGGCGGGCTCCGATTGGCTGCGGTACAGCAGGTGCCGCGTCCGGATTGATCAAAGCCAAGTGGGCGGGGCCGTCGCTCCGAGCGACTCTCTCGGGAGGCGCGTGCCCCGGCTCAGTAGCGTTGGGGCTGGCGAGCGCGACGAATCAGAGCACTGCGCCGTCTGTGGGCGCTTCTGGGCCACCGGCTTCTCCGCCTGCCACCCTGGCGCCCCCAAGTCCTGGCTCCCCATCCTCGCTGCCCAGGGCGTCGACGCCCTGCGGGCTCAGTGGGCTCAATCTGCGCAGCGCCTCCTCCATGTTGAGCAAACCTCTTCAGGGGCTTGCGGTGGCCCCCGTGACCCCCACTCCGCCGCCAGGTGAGCGAGGCTTCTTTACCGCTACAGGCCGGGCGGGCTGAGACGATGGAGGGCGACCCGGAGGGGAAGACGGGGAGGGGGGCTCGCGGCGGGGCTCCGCACGCGGCCACCCTGACTTCCTCGCCTCTGCCTGCGTAGGAGGCAAGGATCGGGAAGCGTTCGAGGCCGAGTACCGACTCGGCCCCCTGCTGGGAAAGGGGGGCTTTGGCACGGTCTTCGCAGGACATCGCATCACGGACCGGCTCCAGGTACCCGCCACGAGGATGCGGGGAGGGTCAGGTGTGCGTGTGGCGGGGCGGGAGGCCGGCGGCTGGGCTCCTGATTGCCTGGGAACGATCCCACAATATTGTAAGGTCAGGTCCGAGGAGCCGGCACCCGGCTCGCAGGGGGGCGTCCGAGCCCGCGCCCGTGCGAGTGCGTGTGTGGCGACTCAGGTGGGCGTGTGGGGGAGGGGCATGGGTTTGGGAGGGCCGGAGAGGGAGACGGGCATCGGGCTTCCTAAGGACTCGGGACCCCGGGATCCGGGGGACGCGTACATGTGTGTGAAGGTGGGGACGCAGAGCTGAGATTTGGGGCATTTGGGAGGCAAGGGCTCCGGCTGGGAATCGGGAGGACCAGGACCCCGGGACTCAGTCGGGCATCTTGGGGCTGGATTTGGAAGATGGAGCGCTTGGGTGGGAAGAAATTTGGAGCTGAGAACCTGGCCTGCGAGGGTCTGGGCTTGGGAACGGAGCTCAGGGCCGAGAGCGGAGGGCGGTGGGAGAGGTGAACTTGGTCCCGGGGACTTGGCGGGCCAGGGAGAGGTCCCCGGCTCCTTGGGGGTCGTGGTTGGGGCCATAAAGACTAGGTAGGATGAGGCTCGGGACCGAGAAGGAGCTGGGGGGGGCATCTTCCAGCCCCTTAACCCCAGCCCGCTTCTCTAGGTGGCCATCAAAGTGATACCCCGGAATCGCGTGCTGGGCTGGTCCACCCTGGTGAGTATCCTCGGAGCCCTCCCTGACCTGGTGGCGCCATAGCTGGCGAGGGGCTCAGACGCCCCCTAGGGCTTGTTCGCCTCCCTGGGCCCTGCTCCTGACGAGATCACTCCTCCCAGCCCGTGTTTACTCCCCTGCGGTGACATCTACACCTCCACACAATTCTGACTCACCCCAGTTCCCCCAGAGCCCCGGATTCTCCCCTCCGGCCCCCCTCTCTCGTCCTCCCTCCAAATGCTGCCTCAGGGGCTGCCCGCGGGGCATGCTGGTGGGAAAGGGGGGGGCCAGAGGTCACTGGTTGCCATGGCGACGGTGGCTGCTTCTGTGCCGTTAGCGCGCTACGGACGGCAGGGCGGGTCTGGGCCAGTTGTAAGTGCGGCAGCGCCCCCTGGCGGGAGCCGGGGAGGCGCGCCTGCGCAGTAGCGGGATTCTCATCGCCGTGAGAAAAACCTGTCTGCAGCTGTGCACAGCGGCGGCGTGGCCGGCAGAGGGCGCCCTCTCAGGCAGAAAGGCCGCTTCTGCAGGTCCTTGTGCCCACGTGGGTTTCTAGAGGGGCGGTTTTTGTGGCTAGTACCATCGAATGCCCGTTACTGAGTCCCAAGGTATGCCCCAGGTTTTGCTAAATCATAAAAAGCTTACAATATTCCAAGTCCAGCTAATCACTTCCATTCGCCCTGGTTCTAGATGCTTAGTAACAGGGGGAAAAAATACCGTGATAACATTGAGTTCTTCATTTGTGCCTGTTCCTTTACCATCGCTCCCTTTCAGCTATTTAACTAAAGTATATTGAGTACCTGCTATGTCCCAGGCACAATTCTAGGCACTAGGGGAAAGGTTACCTTGATTGAAAGCTCGGTTTGTGGCAGCGCCTTTTCCACTAATTGTTTTCACCTAGTGACCACATACTATGTATGGAGCCCTCCCCTGTTACCAGGCACTGAGCTAGTGCTTGACTATGTCAGTGAGCAAAACAGAAACCATTACACAGTAATGGTATTTATTTAGTGCTAGCTCTGGGCCAGATGCTCTGCTGTAAAGTGCTTTCACCTATTTCACACTTACTGAGCACCTACTGTGCATAGGCTGCTGTCTAAACTCTTTGGGGATGTCAGGGAACAAAACAGATAAGATATCCCCTAATACAGTCTTTCTTTACAAAACACTTTTATCCCTGGCCCATGTGGCTCAGTGGTTACCGTTTCCGCCCATGGACCAAAAGGTCTCAGGGTTTGATTCCCGGTCAAGGGCACTGTGCCTCAGTGGCAGGTGATGATGTGGCTAATGTTAATGTTTCCCCCCCCCCCATCCCTCCACTCTAAAAGTCAATGGGGAAAATCTCCTCCTCGGTGAGGATTTAAAAACAAATTTTTTTTTAAAAGGAACACTTTTATCTGCTCTTGAAATATTCACTGAACTTGGGAGGCTGAGGGGCTAGGATTTAAGTTCAGGCCAGAAGTCAGCCTCAGAGCTCCGGGCTTAATGTCTGTTCCCTTCTCTCCCCGTTTGCTCCCGCAGTCGGAGACAGAGTCGGTCACATGCCCGCTGGAGGTGGCGCTGCTCTGGAAGGTGGGAGCAGGCGGGGGGCACCCCGGTGTGATCCGCCTGCTCGACTGGTTTGAGACCCCCGAGGGCTACATGCTGGTCCTTGAGCGGCCTCTGCCGGCCCAGGATCTCTTTGACTACATCACTGAGCAGGGCCCGCTGGGCGAGGAACGGAGCCGCTGCCTCTTCACCCAGGTGGTGTCGGCCGTGCGGCACTGCCACACCCGGGGGGTCGTGCATCGCGACATCAAGGACGAGAACATCCTGATAGACCTCCGCCGAGTGTCTATCAAACTCATTGATTTTGGTTCCGGTGCCCTGCTTCATGATGAGCCCTACACTGACTTTGACGGTAAGGCTTTTCTGCATCTCAGGGGGGAGACTTTGTTTTACCTTCTGATGAATTTTTACCTTTTTTATGGCCTCTTGACCTTCGATCTCCAGTGCTGGGGTATCACCCTTGACCTGCATTGTAACTTTATAAGGTTCATGATTTTTGATATTGAGGCCTTGACCTCTGGTAATAAAGCCCATCTTCTCCCGGTGCCCTGACCTTGTTCTGGCTTTTATTCTGGTGAGGGTTCCTGTTTGCTGCTAAGGGTAGCCTTACGTGACTTTTAAGCGCCTTTCTATGAGGGGACTCCGTTGTCTTTAGTGCTCTTACTCTGGTTAGGGGTGGGAGGGTGGAAATAAGGGCGATACCAAAGAATGGTCTAACCTCTGGCTTGCATGCAGGGACAAGGGTGTACAGCCCCCCGGAGTGGATCTCTCGCCACCAGTACCACGCCCTCCCGGCCACCGTCTGGTCCCTGGGCATCCTCCTCTATGACATGGTGTGCGGGGACATTCCCTTCGAGAGAGACCAGGAGATTTTGGATGCTGAGCTCCACTTCCCGGACCACGTGTCCCCAGGTGAGGCCCTCACTAGCCCTAGCCCAGGGGACTCCGCACCTCCCAGGGACTAGACCCCAACTAACTGCCGCTTTCCTGTGTGTTTCTGCCCTGCAGACTGCTGTGCCCTAATCCGCCGGTGCCTGGACCCCAAACCTTCTGCTCGACCCTCCTTGGAGGAGATCCTGGTGGATCCCTGGATGCAGACCCCAGATGAGGATGCACCCCCTGACACCCCTAAAGGGGGTTCCGCCCCTTTGGCCTGGTCCCTGCTGCCCTAGTTGGGTTATCCCCTGGCCACCGCCATAGGGATAAAACATCCATTGATCTGGTTTTACAGGTCATTACAAATCCAGTGTTACTAGGGTCAGAGATTGGGGATCAGGGGTCAGAAAACAAGCCAAGTCTGCCCAGTCCCCATCCCAATCCCGTTAAGGGGCCTCCCTCCCGGAATCTGTGGTTGCTCATTCTGGAGCGGGCGGTGGGGGGGGGGGGCACTTCCTAGCTTCTCATCTTACTAAGTAACGTTTGTTTGAAGTCAATTCCATTCTGAGCCCCCGGAATCCGTGTTACAACCCTCACACTGGCACCTCCTGCCTGCTACACCACACGAACTTAGTTGAAATGCTCTAACTTGGGCAGGTGCTTTTTGTTGGAATACGCCAGCAGCTCTTAATTTTAGCCAAGGGACTGTGTTCTAGCTTAGGTTAAAGTTCCACGTTCAGTCAAGCTGCTTGCCTACCTCAGCCCAGGGTTGATTATTCTGGGGGAGGTAATGCCCTATTTTACCCCAGGGCTTTTTTTTTTTTTTCCTCCTCCTCCTCCTTCTTCTTTTTTTGGTGAAGGGACCCTACTCTGTTATTCCAAGTGCTCTTATTCTGGTGAGGAGAAAACCCTACTTCCAAGATGTGGGAAGGAAGGGAGAGATGGACACCACCAGAGTCCACTAGGACGGGTTGGATGGTTTTTGAGGGGATAGGGTGGGGGAAATAAGTCTTGTTGTTTGTTCTCCTAGGGCCTCCCCCTCCACCTTTTTTTGGATTCTTGCTGCCTCCTTCTGAGCCAGGATTGTCCAGTTGCTGAAATGTAAATACTTATGTATTAGGAGGAAGGGAGCTCCAACTGTGTCATCCTCTCCCTTCTCCACATGCCTGGATTATTTAAAAAGCCATGTGTGGACACCCACTATTTAATAAACATACTAGAATCACAAACCACTGGCCAGTTGTAGTTGTGTGGTGTTTGTGGAGCATCTGCCGCGCGCTGAGCCAAGAGGGAGATGGAGTGATCTCGCCTCTGCCCTCGGGGAGCCCGTCTTGTGGTGCCATCCTACAGGTCTTAGGGATTCGCACAAAACTGACAGCAGCGCCCCTCCCCCAGCCCCTATGTAGTGACCAGGGTGCGGGAGGGCTCCAAGGGACACATATGAAGCTGTTTGGAACATCCCTGATGAAAGGTGGCTGGCTAGCTTATGGGAAAATGTCTTCAATCCAATCTCATGGGAAAGCAAAACCCTTTCCCGGCTCGGGTGAGGGCGGGCTGGGTTTGAGGGCAGAGGGACCTTACCAGTCCTTGATTCCTAACACCTGTCTGGCCGTTACCTTTTCGCCTCTCCCTCGGACCCGTAAATGCTCACCTCTGTCCCTGAATTCTGGACTTCGCTTCCCTAGTCTCTTGTTTTCACTTGTCCCCACCTCCGCTGTACCTCTCGCCCTGCTTTCAAAAGCTAACTCGTAAGCCTCTCGCCTGCAGGCTAACCAGTCCACTTAGTTCCTTTGCCATCTCGATGTTGGCTTCCTTTCCCTCCTTCTCTGGCTCCATTAAATTCCCCTGTGCCTTCTCCCTGGCATATCCTAATTCTAAGCTGCCCTGGTGAGATCACCTGGCTGCCCCGCACCTGCCGGCCTCCGCAAACATCATCTTGCTTCCCAAAAGGAGCACAGGGGGTGGGTCCTCTCTTGGCGAGGGGAGAGGGAAACCAGTCCAACCAGGAAAGACCTGGTTTGGGTTTGGGAGGCGCGATGCCAGCCGCAGACCATGCCAATAAAGAACCGGGACGGGAGCGGGGCGATCTGGGGAGCGGGATCCACGGAGAAGGCGGGGGGCAGGCTGGCCCACGCGCGATCTCCCCGGCAGCACGTGGAATCCGAGTCCCGAGGCTTCAACCCCGGGCGATCGGGACCAGACAGGGAAAGCCTCGGCTCCGGCCGACCCTTCCCTCGCCCTGGAGGCCCGGAAGCGGAAGTGACAGACACGGAAGTGGCCGGCTGTTGCCGAGGGGACGGGCCAGGCAGATGCCAACATGGCAGCGGTCGGGTCTGGCTGTTCCTCCGCGGCGGCCGGGCCGGGGGTGGTGTCGGCGGGGGCGCTGGAGCCCGGGACCATGAGTGCGGGTGAGGCGGGGCGGGGGGCGGCGGGGCGCGGGCCGGATCGCGGGGGGATGTCAGGGAGGCGCTGGCCTGAAGCGGGAGGGAGCAGCCCAGGTGCACCGCCCAGTGTGTGCAGCGGGGTGAGGCCGGGTGGGCAGGGGAGCGGGAGGAATCAGCCCCCGGGGGTGCGGGGCGTCTCCTCTGCAGGGGATCGGGGGGCTGTTTGAGGCCGGGGGATGTGTCCTGGCGGGGAGGCTCAGGCCATTCTGAGGGTGTGAGGGGGTCCATGGAGGGAGAGACCCCTCCGAGGGCGGGAGAGCTTGTTCCTTCTGGAAGGGACAGGCTCTTCTGGGGGCAGGATCTTCCCTAAAAGGGAAGGGGCTGTTGTGAGTTGGGTGGGGCAGGTCCTTATGGGATTCCGAGTCCATTTGGGGGATGGGGCTGGCCTTCGTTATATGGGGAGCAGACCATCGGGGGGGGTCCCCTCCCGCTGGAGGGTTATTATATGTTGGAGTGAAGGGGGGGGCAGGCCTTCCTCGTGTGGCAGAGAAGGGACGCTCTGGGGGTGCCAGGCTCTTCCTCACAGCCAGGATTGTTCATTGTGTGAGTGGAACAAGGACTCATTCTCGGCTGGAGGTAGAGGAATGCAGTGGTTGGAGGGCTGGACCATGGGGAGGAAAGGGACATTTCCTTATAGCGTTCAAGGAAGCAGACCATTTCTGGTGAAGTGATCCTTGATTATGTGGGGCTCAATCCCTGGGACAGTGTGGAAATCCTATCTTATTTGTTAGGTGATTTGGGGGCGGAAAGAATCTGTCCTCATTGGAGGGAGGGGCTGCAGAGACCATTCAGAGGGTGGGAGAAAGGCCGTGTCTTAGGGAGTGAACCTGCTGTCTACACTGCTCTCCTTCCCTGGATCAGAGTATCATTCTTTTTAAATATATATATATATTATTCATTTTCCTACAGAGAGGAAAGGAGAGGGATAGAGAGTTAGAAACGTCGATGAGAGAGAAACATCGATCAGCTGCCTCCTGCACACCCCCCACTGGGGATGTGCCCGCAACCAAGGCACATGCCCTTGAACCAAACCGGGACCCTTGAGTCCGAAGGCCACAGGCCGATGCTCTATCCACTGAGCCAAACCGGCTAGGGCTAGAGTATCATTCTTTACATGGAACATCCCCTCATTAAATAGAAGCAACATTCTGTAGAAATCTTCAGTTAGCTCATCCATAAAATGGGAATCCTTATAGCTCCTTCAGAGATCAGAGCATCATTGGGGTCTGTTGTAATCCATATAAATCCCTCAGCCCAATGATAGGCACACAGTAGGCACTCAATAAATGGGGAGAGTTAGTTGAGAATGTAGTTGCTAGATGGGAGAGAGTTGCTTCTCACTCAGGGGAAGCGGGGTGTCCAGGGCCTGCCCTGGCCATTTCCTAACACCCCCAGAAGGATTCCGGGAATGGGCCTGGCTCGCTTCTACCTTTCTGGATCTTCTTCCTGTGGCCCTCAGCAGGTTAGGATGAGGCAGAGGGAGGAGAAAGCAGTGGTGGCCAGGAGGATCCTGGTTGAAAGGGGGAGGAGAGGGTGGTGGTAGGGCTTTGCCCCTAGCAGCCTCTGGCACCGTCTTCACCTTTGCTCCTTCCGTTCCCCACAGCTCACCGGCGCCTCAAATACATATCCCTGGCCGTGCTGGTGGTCCAGAATGCCTCCCTCATCCTCAGCATCCGCTACACCCGCACGCTGCCTGGAGACCGTTTCTTTGCTACTACTGCAGTGGTCATGGCCGAGGTGCTCAAAGGTCTCACCTGCCTGCTGCTACTCTTCGCACAGAAGAGGGGTATGAGCCAAGGAGGGGGGCTGTCCTGGAGTCATCCGGGAGGATTCTGCGTGTGCGCGTGTGTGTGTGTGTGTGTGTGTGTCTGTGTGTGTGTGTAGATCTACACCCACATGGAAGGTTTGCTGAGGTAATATCTCTGACTCTGTAGAACTGCCTGGAAAGTGTGTAAGTGCAGCCAAGCTGCCCTGTTCCTCCAGCTATGAGTAGCCCCTTTTAAAAAATATATATTTTACTAATTTTTTTACAGAGAGGAAGGGAGAGAGAGTTAGAAACATCCACGAGAGAGAAACATTGATCAGATGCCTCCTGCACACTCCCCACTAGGGATGTGCCCACAACCAAGGTAAGTGCCCTTGACCGGAATCGAACCTGGAACCTTTCGGTCTGCAGGCCGATGCTCTATTCACTGAGCCAAACCGGTTTCAGCTATCTACACTTTTATACCCCAAACCCTGTATGAGTGAGCCAGTCTGTGCCCATCAATGGCAGGTGACCCTTAAATGATTTAGTTAGTTCTCTTTCACTTTTTCTTATGAGGAGCTTCAAACACATGATCAGAGAGAATGATGAAATAGGAAAATATCCATGTACCCATCACCCAAATTCAACAATTATCAACTGATAGCCACTCTGATATTAAACAGTGTCAGTGAGCCCTAGCCGGTTTGGCTCAGTGGATAGAGAGCATCGGCCCTCGGATTGAAGGGTCCCAGGTTTGATTCCAGTCAAGGGCATGTACCTCAGTTGCAGGCTCCATCCCCGGGAGGCAACCAATCAATGTGTCTCCCTCACATTGATGTTTCTCTGTCTCTCCCTCTCCCTTCCACTCTCTCTAAAAATCAATGAGACAATATCCTCAGGTGAGGATCAATAAAAAACAAAACAAAAAAAACAATCAGCGTCAATGATTATCCCCTCACTGCCAATCTATATGTCTGCCTATCTATGCCCTCACCTTATTATATTGAACTACAGTAGCTCCTCACTTAATGTCATCAGTAGGTTCAGCGACTTTAAATGAAATAATATATAATGAAACCAGTTTTACCACAGGCTAATAGATAGAAATGAGTTAAATTCATAGGCACTTCAATAGTTATAACACAATAACAAAGAAAACCGTTATTTGAGGGCCTGCCCTAAGTCCCACATGAAGTATTTTTTTTTTAAATATGCTTTTTGTTGATTTCAGAGCGGAAGGGAGGGAGAGATAGAAACATCAATGATGAGAGAGAATCATGGATCGGCTGCCTCCTGCATGCCCCACACTGGGGATCGAACCCACAACCCAGGCATGTGCCCTTGACTGGAATCAAACCCGGAACCCTTCAGTCCACAGGCCGATGCTCTATCCACTGAGCCAAACCAACTAAGGTGTCATAAACATTTTAAAAAATGTATTTGAGTCAAGTTTTTTTGTTGAATTTATTGGGGTGACATCGGTTAATAAAATTATATAGGTTTTAAGGGGTACAGCAATTCTGTATTACATCATCTGTATATTGTCTGTTCACCACCCCAAGTCAAGTCTCTCTCCATCACCATTTTTCCCCCTTTACCATCTCCAACCTCTCCCCACCACACCCCTTTCTTTCTGGTAATCACCATACTATTGTTTGTCTAGACAGTGTTTTTATTTGTTTGTTTGTTTTTTATTAATCCTTCACCCTTTTCACCCAGCTGCCCACCACCCTCCCCTCTGACAGCTGTCAATCTGTTTTCTGTAGGAGTGTTTGAGTCAAGTTTACATCAAGATCAGTGACTTGTACTTGGTTAATGTCTTCTGAGTTGGTTAACCTCTAGATTTCCCTCCAATTCTCTCCCTCTCTCTCTCTCTCTCTCTCTCTCTCTCTCTCTCTCTCATTAATTTGTTGAAGAAACCAGGTCATTTGTCTTGTAGGCTTCAGGTAACCTAGATTTTGCTGACTGCCTCGCAGTAGTTCTGTCCTCTGTATTTAACATGTTCTTCTGTCTTCTGTAATTCCTATAAGGTAGCTTTACCTCCTCATTTACACACTCCTGAAGGCCTGCTTCTTTCAAATGTTGTCAAGTCATTGCTCTCTAAAGGTGGCTCTGCCCTCAGCGCTTACATCAAATAAGCCCTTCTTACCCACTTTAGCTCCGGGGCCCTAGGGGACAGCAGTTTAGGGACCTACCTGCGCTACTCTTGATTGATTCTCAGACACTTTCTAGCAAACTCTGCGTGGCGGGCTTCGCTGTGGCCGTGGAGGTGGAGTGTCAGCAGCGCAGACTCGCACCTTTCCCTCGGGCTGGTCCCTTAGATGGGGAGAAACCAATAGCTGCAGACTCAGGCCTAGGCTTCCATCTCTTACCTCAGTTTCACACATACACTCCACTTTTCTTTTAAATATATTTTATTGATTTTTTTACAGAGTATGATAGAGGGATAGAGAGCTAGAAACATCGATGAGAGAGAATCATCGACCAGCTGCCTCTTGCACACCCCCTACTGGGGATGTGCCCGCAACCAAGGCACATGCCCTTAACCTGAATCGAACCTGGGACCTTTCAGTCCGCAGGCAGATGCTCTGTCCATTGAGCCAAACCGGTTTCGGCAACACCTGGAAATTTTCAAACACCCAAACACCTGGGCCCGGGAAATGTGGGGAAAGGGTGAGACATTGATAATCACTCCTGGGTTAATGCCATGGAAGGCAAGGATGGAATGTGAGTGAGCACCACCAGGTCCCGTGAAGACCTTATGTAGTGGCTGGTTTTTCCCTGCGGAGTGCCACTGAGCTGCAAAAACAGTGGGACGAGCTTCGCAAAGGCCTTGTTATGTAGGAAAATATTCCTACTGATTGATTGGCGCAGGTCCCAACCACACTTTCCTGCTTAACGGTCAAGCGTGCGTATTTCCATGTGTCGGGGGTAGCTGCTTGGTGTGTGTAGGGCCGACAGAAAGATGCAGCCAAGTGGGAGACCAGTAAGCTGACCACTGGGCAGCTTGCAGGCCAGTAAGGAGCTAGGGGAAGCCCACAAGTAGAGTGTCAAATCATCCCTGTTTGGTAAACAGCCTTCCACCTACACTCCTTGGACTTCTGCTTCCCGCTACCCCACTTCATGCTGATGAGTTCACTGTGCACGTGTGTACACATGTGTACGAAGCGCTGGCCCGGAGTGGGGCTTTGCGCCAGGGAGGTAGGCTTAGGAGGAGGGAGGTATGGCCTGGGTTTCTCAGACACAACGTTACAGCCAGCGGTAATGGACCACTGTGTTTATCCAACCGAGTATCCGAACGGCCGCCTGGGCACGTGCTGCTTCTGTGGGGAAACTGAGAGCACAGACTCAGTCCAGTCCTCGGGGAGGCGGTGTCAGGGGGAGACACGGGACCAGGCCTAGTCCCAGCGCGCAGAGGGTCCCTGCCTTCGGTAGTTGGTGCTAAAAGGCTCTCCTCCACCCGCCAAGGTAACGTGAAGCATCTGCTCCTCTTCCTCCACGAGGCCGTCCTGGTGCAGTACGTGGACACATTCAAGCTTGCCGTGCCCTCTCTCATCTACACCCTGCAGAACAACCTCCAGTACGTGGCCATCTCCAACCTGCCAGCTGCCACTTTCCAGGTGAGCCCCAAGCCCGCACGCCCCGGAGGAACTGGCTGGGTGGGGTGGGGTGAGGGTGGGGCTGCAGAGAGCTGGATCTCTTATCACCTTTGGAATATCCGGGCCACTCCCTTCACTTCTGTTTCCTCCTCCGTGGAAATGGTAACTGCTACTCCCTGGGATGCTGGGACCTTTCCAAGGTGTAGCACCCAGCCCGGAAGAGCCCTCGGTTGGTGAGAGAGAAGCTTCTGGCTGTTTTCAGGCTGCCTTAGGAAATGGTTCAGGAGCCTGGATTCAGGGGCCAGGCCATCCGGGTTCAAATCCCAGCTTGTTTTTCTAGCTGTGTGATGTGTGGCATTGGGTGGGTCCCTTAAAATCCCCGGTCCTTAGCTTGCCCATCTTTATTTTTTTAATACCCGTTTTTTATTGGTTTCAGAGAGGAAGAGAGAGGGAAAGACAGAAACATGAATGATGAGAGAGAATCATTGATCGGCTGCCTCCTGCACGCCCCCTAACTGAGAATCGAGCCCGCAACCCGGGCATGTGCCCTCTCCCGGAATGGAACCTGGGACCCTTCAGTCCGCAGGAGGATGCTCTATCCACTGAGCCACACCGGCTAGGGCAGTTTTCTCATCTTTACATTAGACATTTCAATAGCACGCACTTCATACATGAGGATTAAATGCATGAATTCACATGAAGTGCTTACACCCACACCCGGCACATGATGTGCTGATATTGTGTGGCGGACTCATTTGTATTGACAGGCATTGATCAAGACCTCCCTCAGCATGCTGTCTACCATTCATTCATTCACTCCTTTCTGTGTGAGGCGTGTGACGCACGCCAGCCGTACCTGACAGCAGGTGTCAGGGCTCAGACCGGGCAGGTGCTTTCTCCCTCATTACCCAGCCAGGAAACGGGGCTGGGGTGTGGCCGGGTACTTATTGCACAGTCAGCCTCCTGTGTACCTTCTGGGCGGGACCTCGGAGCCATTTAGCTGTAACTGTCCCTGGGCGGCAGCTGGAAATGTTTGCCGTGTTTATTGTCATCTACCCTGTGGGTCCTCCCCCCAATGTGCCCGGGGGCCCACCGTGGGTGCTGGCCCCCGTGTACACACGTCGGGGGGGGGACCGGCGGCAGCCCTCAGCACCTCCGTATGCCACTCGCAGGTCACGTACCAGCTCAAGATCCTCACCACCGCCGTGTTCTCCGTGCTCATGCTGAACCGCAGCCTCTCCCGGCTACAGTGGGTCTCCCTGCTGCTCCTCTTCACCGGCGTGGCCATCGTGCAGGCCCAGCAAGCCGGCGGCGGGGGCCCGCGGCCACTGGACCAGAACCCCGGGGTGGGCCTGGCAGCCGTCGTGGCCTCCTGTCTGTCCTCGGGCTTCGCTGGGGTGTACTTCGAGAAAATCCTCAAGGGCAGCTCGGGCTCCGTGTGGCTGCGCAACCTGCAGCTGGGCCTCTTCGGCACGCTGCTGGGCCTGCTGGGGCTGTGGTGGGCCGAGGGCGCGGCCGTGGCCCGTCGGGGCTTCTTCTTCGGCTACACGCCCGCCGTCTGGGGCGTGGTGCTCAACCAGGCCTTCGGCGGGCTGCTGGTGGCCGTGGTCGTCAAGTACGCCGACAACATCCTCAAGGGCTTCGCCACCTCCCTGTCCATCGTGCTGTCCACCGTGGCCTCCATCCGCCTCTTTGGCTTCCACGTGGACCCGCTGTTCGCCCTGGGCGCCGGGCTGGTCATCGGTGCCGTCTACCTCTACAGCCTCCCCCGAGGGGCCGCCAAAGCCATAGCCCCCGCCGCCGCCTTGGCCTCCGGGCCCTGCACCCACCAGCAGCCTCCGGGGCAGCCGCCGCCGCCGCTGTCTGCCCACCGCGGAGACCCCAGCACGGAGCCCTTTCTGCCCAAGTCAGTGCTGGTGAAGTGAGCCAGGGAGGGGGCCCGGGAGGAGGGAGTGGGGCATCCTGCAAGACCCCAAGTCACCCCCGGGGCCTGGCCCCTCGGGGGTGTGAGGTCTCTTATCCCGGGTCCTTGAGACTCTGGGAGGGGCTCGGCGTTTCATGAAGCCTTCCTAGTCCGCTGACCCCCCCCCTCCCATGGAGGGGTGTTTAGAGCCACCTCCCCTGTCCCGGCCTAACCCCTCGGAGGGCCAGGTTGGGGAGGGTGTTGTCATGTAAGGTCTTTTTAGCCGCCTCCCTCCTTCAGCCAGAAGTGTCCCGTCTCATGCCTGGGAGGGTCGCTTCCGGGCGTCCCTCTACCTTTGTAAGGACAAATTGGACAAAAACCCCACAGCCCTTTAATAATGACTGATGCCTGCCCGTGGCGGCTCCTTTCCCATAGCGCCAGGCCTGCTCTCCTGCACCGCCAACCTGGCTCATGTTAGCAGCTCTTTCTGCAGCTTCCCTGACACCGAGACCCCCGGGGAGAGGTTGGGGGGCGAGCTGAGGTCTTGCATCAGCCTGGTCCAGAAATTGGGACTTCATGGTTGTTTTTTTTTTAGTGGTTTGGGGATTGGTGTAATCAGATCATTGATGATCCAGGGTCTGGGCAAAGCAGGGAGGAATCGAAGGAAGACGGTCCGTTGCCAGATGCAGGGTTCTTTTCGGAGAGAACAAAATAAAGCTGCCAACCATCCCCCTGGCTACCCCACTGGCTGAATGAGGCAGCCTTCACTCATGGGTGTGTGTCGGGGTGTGTGTGTGTCTTCAAGTTGCTGAAACATGGATCTTGCCCCATGCGCTCCTCAAAGCTTATTAACCCCTTAACTGTCACCTGGGTGTGTGTGTGTGTGTGTGTATGTATACGTATGTGTGTGGGGGTGTGTCTGTGCCCATGCACACGCTTGGGAGATGCCTGGGCTCTTTGCTATATGTAAATAGGGCCGTTGGACCTTTATTTTTGATTAACTTGTTTTGATTTTTTTTTGTTTTCTAAGGAACTGTAATGAACCAATGTCAGGATACCTAATGCCAAATAAAGATGTTGTATTTATTTAGTCCACGTGTAGCTTTCTGACCCAGGGGACCTGCTCTCTCTACACATGGGCTCTGTTACTAACCGCAGAATGACCCGCCTCATTGCTGTCACCCTCGCTTGCTCGGGATGCCTGCCTGCCAGCCCACCCCAGCTTTCTGTTTTTCTTTCCTCCCCGTTCCCACCACAGGTTGCTCACCAAGGTGAAGGGTTCGTAGCTGCTGGGACTGAAGACACTGGCCTGGCTTCGTCCTCCCTTCTTGCCCTGGCACAGCCAGGACCAAACTCTGATCAGTATTAGGGCTGGGGGGAGTCGGGACACTGATGCCCCCTGTCCCCGCCACCCCCACCCCCACCCCCACCCCCACACAGGGCTGATACACGTAAACTGTCTGATAAGGAGGGTCCAGCTAGGAACCTCCTCAGCCTCTAGTCCCTGCTGTCCCCATATGCCCGTGCCACGCCCACAGTATTTCTTAGGAGTTTTTGCAAATAAACTGCTTTGGTCAAACATTTCATTCACTCCTAATGCCTTGGCAGGGCCAGACCAAAGGATTTCATGGCTCTTCTATGGCCCGCGGGCCAGACGTTCCCCACCCCTGATAGAAGATACACTGTTACCCAAGCCTATTCAGCTTCAGAGTTTAGGTAGGGATTTATCCACATCCTTTCGGTTCCTGAGCTCCAGGAGTACACTATAGCTAGCACACTACCAAAGTCGCTTTGGATAAAATGAGTTTGGGTTGGGAAGCCTCAAAATCGCAAAAGAAGGAAAGCACACCAGCCTGGTGGGTTGGAGCCACGGAAAGCTTTTATTAAAAAAACCACGAGGGTTCAGTTCAGTCCTGGGGCTGCGGCTTGGTTCGGGAGGCCTCGGCATTGGCCCGGAGCACAGCCCCTGGGGATGGGTAGGGACGCTGCTGGAACAGGGGTCCGGCGGCCGTCGTGTCTGCCCCCGTCTTCGCCTCGTTCCGCTTGGGGAGTCCGGTAGACCAGGTGCCCCTGGGGGTGATGAGATAGTCAGGCCAGGCGGGTGCGAGTGTGGAAGGTGGCAGGCAACCCCCTCCTCCCAAATAACCAGTGAGTCAGGGAGGGGGGTGGGGAGGCAGAAAGGAAGTGTGGGGAGTCCCTGTCACTTACCGGGGTGCATCGGAGTATGCGCTGGGGTCCATTGGGTCTAGCTCCTCATCCTTCCGGCTTGACGCTGTGGAAGGAGGTGGCAGAACAGGGTCTTCAATGGGGGCACAAAGGACCTCTGGTCACTGAGCTTCCCCCATCGCAAGAACAAATGGAGTCCCAGCTGCCATGGCTGCAGCGCCTTTCCCCACCCCATCCCCCCATTCAGGCAACTTGTGAGGGCTTCTGTACCCCTGTGCCTGCAGCCCTCCCCAGGCCCAGCCCTGCTTAGCTTACCCTTCTTGCTCTTGGGATAGGGAGCCAGCTCTTCCCGGCGATGGTGGCGCCGTTCTTTGGCCTCTTCTCTGTCCGCCTTGTCGTACCCACGGTCACGGTCACGGTCCCGTTCCCGGTCACGATCCCGGTCACGGTCCCTGTCCCGGTCCCGGTCCCTGTCCCTGTCCCGCTCTCTTTCTCTCTCCACCTTTTCATAGCCACGTTCTCGGTCTCTGTCAGACTTCTCGTGGCCCCTCTCAGACTTCTCGTGGCTCCTTTCAGACTTCTCGTGGCCCCGGTCCGATTTCTCGTGGCTCCGCTCCGACTTCTCGTGGCTCCGCTCCGACTTCTCCTCAGCAGCATCTGGGGACACAAAAGCCTTGAGGTGACTTCCTTCCTGTGCTGGCCCTGGCCAGATTGCCACATGCACCTGTCCATATCAGTCTATAGTCCCAAGACTTGAAGACTCAAAACCAAAATAGGGAGGAGGATTGGGATAAGAGAACATTCTTAGAAGAATTATAGGGCAGTGTGGTTCAGTGGTTAAGCGTCGATCTATGAGTCAGAAGGTCACAGTTCAACTCCGAATCAGGGCACATGCCTTGATCTGCAGTGGGGAGCATGCAGGAGGCAGCCGATCCATCAATGATTCTCTTTCATCATTGTTGTTTCTATCTCTCCATCTCTCTTCCTCTCTGACATCACTAAAATAATCAGAACCCGGGAGCTGGTGCCTTTGCCAGTCTCTCTGACACCTGGGGCTGTGTTGGCCTGTCTCCCCTGTCCCTCCTGGACCCACTAGCATTCAGGGAGCCCTTTCTGAGAAATTCTGGAAGTGCTTGAGGCACCCTGGGGCCCGCCAACTCACCCGGATTGCTGTTCCTGAGCTTCTTAGCTGCTTTGGTAACGATGGAGTTGGAGTCGTGGGGGGAGAGCCAGGAGACCAGGTCTGTGTCCACATTCCAGTAGTAAGGGAGCCCACTGCAGGGTGGTGGGAGGGAGGGAAGAAGTGTCAGCATACATGCCCTCCCCTTGTAGCCTCCGCTGCTTCCCAATCTCTACCGACACCTACCCCATGTCAGGACCCTCCCGACCCCTTCCCTTCTGTCCCCCATCTCCCCAAGGCCAAGGGCAGCACAGGAGGGGCAAAGTCAGACGTTATCTTCCCCCCCACCCCCCCCCGAAGGTCCCCAGGCTTACCAGGACGGGTCAAACACCTTGTACCAGCTGGGTGGCAGGCCCTCCAAGCGGGTGGCCTCATAGTCCACGGGATCATCATCATAGTCCTCAGCAATAATCTCTTCCTCTGGTTCTGCCAGGACAGGCAGAGGAGGAGAGCAGTAAGTATCAGGTCTCCTCCTCCTACAGTGTGGACCTGGAGAGGCGCTCATTCACACGGACACGTGTGCATGTGCCAGATCTCACCGGCCACGGCACACAGCACTCACAACCCAAGTCCTGGCATCTACATAGGGAACCTGGAGCTCTCCTTCCCGCCGGCGCCTTGCCCGCCCCCTCCCCTTTCCCCCAGGCGCATTCATCCTGCAGGCCATCACCTTCCTCACTCCCAAGCTCCAAGGACCCTTCCTGCGTCCATTGCCTCAATCAATTACGTCTACCGCTATGTTTTTGCAAATAAATGTTCTCTTAAGAGTTTGAAAACAATAAACAAATAAATAAATAAATAAATAGAGAACTTACCAAAACATGTACGTACCTAAATCTGTCCTGTTCCTGGGTTCAGATAAGACAGGAGTGGGGAACCTTTTTCCTACCAAGGGCCATTTGGATATTTATAACATCATTCACGGGCCACACAAAATCATCAACTTAAAAATTAGCTTGCTATATTTGGTCAAACATTTCATTAACTCACACCTAATGCCTCGCAGGGCCAGACCAAACGATTTCACAGCTCTTATATGGCCCGCGGGCCAGACGTTCCCCACCCCTGATAGAAGATACACTGTTACCCAAGCCTCTGGCTTCAGAGTTTAGGTAGGGATTTATTCACATCCTTTCAGTTCCTGAGCTCCAGGAGTACATTGTAGCATACTACGAAAACCCATTTGGATAAAATGAGTTTAAACAGCAAGTTTCTCTAAAAATGTCCAAATGTATTCCGCTTCCAAGCTTGGGAAGACAAGGGTTTCTGACATTTTTAGCAGCAAGAATTTAAGGGATTTATTCAAATACTGCTCTGAGTCCATTCAGTTCCCGAGGCCTGATGTTTATTCAGCTAACATCAGTAGGATAAAAAAAAGGTGTGTTAGGCCCTCAGTAGGCCTGTCATGGACTTCAGTTGTGGATACAATTAAACGTGTATTTCAACAATAGCATAGTGCCTGTCGCTGGAGGCCCAAAAGAGACGTCAGCTATAATCATCAGGCTTGTTAATAAGGTATATAGCATCAGGAAAAAAAAAATTAGGTGCACAGGGCCTGGCACCGAACAGAGTTAACATAATGTGTATCCAAGCACTTAGTACACCCAAAACACATATTCATATGGTGAGCAATAACCAATATACCACCAGCGTAGTGCCTGGCACCACAGTAGGACTGAAAAAATATTATTATGGTAAAATACAAAGTATCAGCATCTTGCCACTGTCCTTTAGGTACAGGAGACTGCTATCCTATTACTCTGTAACCATTTCCATGGATGCACTGAATCCAGCATACAGTAGGCCCAAATAGGTATCAGGATGAAATGCCTATCTTGCCCGGGTTCCCACCCCCACCCCAACCTTGGCACCTAGTAGGAATGGGCGTCAGGAATCCGTATTGTTAACAAAACAATGCCTGCCACCCCGCTGCCTAATGCACAGTAGGCCCCACGTAGCATACAAGGGGATAGTATCAACAATAAAGTGCCTGTCAAGCCAGGCACATGGTAGGCCCATGGGCACTTAGCGTTCTTACCGGGGTCGAGATGCTTGAGGATGCCTCTCTTCGCCAAGCGAGTCTGCAGAGCAACGGGCAGCGGCATAGCGATCAGCAGGCAGATCTGGGGATGGATGGACAAACTAAAAACCAGCTCCCAAGAAAAGATGAATCGATGCAATAAGCATGCACCCCCCCGCCCCACTGCGTGCTCATCTGGACCCCCAACACCTCACCGGTAGCTGGGCAGACGAAACTGAGCTCAAAGGTGGAAGAGAAAGGTTACAATATTACCAAAACTCTCAGCAGCCCTCCTTTGCAGGCCCCGTGCTCCAGAATCCAGTTCCTCTCCTAGGCCCAGGGCCCGCCCATCGCCGCAGGGGTCGAACGCGCCTCCCCCCCGCGCCACAGAAATGGTCTCACCTAACGTCCCCCGCTGACTGCCGGGTGGGCGGAACCAAAGAGCTCGGATGGAGGTGCACAGGGGTGCACCTCCTCCGGCTTCCCAGTGTGCGCGTCCCTCGACGCTACCCGTGGAGCCCCGCGGGTAGTGGCGAGCTGTCAGACTGTCTGCGTCCAGGTGGTCGCCGCTGGAGTCACCGGGATCACGCGACTGTCTCCTCGCAAAGCGCAGAGCCAGACCGTGTCTCCCCTCGGCTGGGAATGAACTGGGCGAAGCTCAGGCTGCGAAAAAAATATGACACATCCGGGCAGCCAATGAGAGCGCGCCGCTGGCCTTGACGTAGGACGTAGCCAGCCAGCTGCGGCCCTGGGATTGGTGGGAGCCCGGGCGGCTGTGCGCGTTGCCCGAGGGGGCGTGGCACGCCGGGGCTCCGCGGGACTAAGCTGGCGCCATGGAGGAGTACGCTCGGGAGCCCTGGTACGGCGACGGCCACAGGCCTCGGGGCTGTTCCTGCGACCCCGCGCCCCGCTGCGGGAGGCGGGGGCGGGGGGGAGGCGGGCACGGGCCCCACGGCGCCGCGGCTCAGCCCCCGGAGACGCCTCGCCGTCTCTTCTCGTCCCCCCACTCGGGTTCCGTTAAGAGGGGCCCCCGCGGTCCCGGAGAAGATGCGGTTCGGGACGAACCAGTCCTCCGACGCCGTGGCTCTTTCCTTAGAACAGAGACGCTGCTCAAACCCTTCGGGTTGCGTGGAAATCCCCTAGCTACCACGCGTGTTCCCCCCGGGTTGCTGTGGGGAGCGGGGCGGGGCCTAGCTGAGCCTATTGTGAGCGAGGAGGTGGCGCTGGACACCCCCCCCACCCCCCGCCAGCTCTCGGTTTTTCCAGTTGTGCCAGGTTGGGGGGGGGGGGGGGAAGCGGGCCTTCGGTTGGACACACTCATTTTCGGAGAAGGGGGTGCGACAACACTAGCCAGTTAATGACACTGCTAGCCCGTTAACACTTCGATAGCGTTTCTTCAAAGGGGCCAACCCTTAGTGCATAATGAGTTCATTTCATCTTTGACAGTAAAGCGGTTGGCTGATTCCTTAGCTGCAAAAGGAGGGGGCGGAGAGGGCAAAGCACTATTTTATTGTTATTATTATTATTTTGCTTAAATGGGAGGGAGAAATAATCTTATTATCTGAAATGTCACTTCCATTCCAAATGTCACTGGAAGCAAAGTCTCAATAGGATTCACAGGTTTCTCCCAGCAGGAAAGAGTCCTTGAGGCGTGGGGGGAGGGGGCTCACATTAACCCCATCCTCCCCTTGACCCTTGCAGCCCATGGCGAATTGTGGATGATTGCGGCGGAGCCTTCACGATGGGAGTCATCGGTGGCGGAGTCTTCCAGGCCATCAAGGGCTTCCGCAATGCCCCTGTCGTGAGTCAGTTACATGCACCAGATCATTCTGGTGCCTGCTTGCCTCCCATGTGCCAGGCCTGACTCCAGAGTCGGGGGTTTTGGGGGTACTGCAAACATGGCCTCATTCCCTCACCCCAACCCAACTGTAGCACCGGCCTCTGTGAAAGGGCCGGTGCTACAGTTGGGTTGGGGTGAGGGAATGGGCACCACTGTCGACGTAAGAAGGTGCAAAGCTGTAGAAAGATTTTATAAAGGTTCATTAGAGCTTATTTGAGCCCTATAAGGGCATGGCTGGAAGCAAGGTCTCAATAGGATTGAGAAAAATGCTTCCCATAATGACAGTTTGGGTTTCTGGTTTTGTAGATTTGGAATTAAGGAGGGAACAGAGAGAGGATTACCTGAACTTGGGAGAAAGTAAAGCCGGGACATCTATGATTGGATTATAAGATAAGATGATGTGATCTCTGAGGGGTTTAAAAAAGAAGCATTTCAGAGGTGTGAACCGAGATGCATAGAAACAACGGACAGAGCGTGCTTATGGCAAGGATAACCTTTTTACTAGCGAAGTTACAGGCCTGAGACAAGACTACTCCCGTGACCTCTAGTTATCATTTATGATCAGATCAGAGCCCATTTTTCACCCACACCACCAAATTCTGTGTCTGCTGAGCCAGGCAGATTTTACCTAGAGGCAGATTCTGGGTCCCAAAACTGGCTAGAGGGAAGTGACAAGAGTTTAGCTGGCAGATGGAAGACAACCTTGAATTTAAGAAAATGTTTTTACCTACCCCTAGCCAATTTGGCTCAGTGAATAGAGCGTCGGCATGCAGACTGGAGGGTCCCGGGTTTGATTCCAGTCAAGGGCACATGCCTGGGTTGTGGGCTTGATCTCCAGTGGGGGAGGGGCATGCAGGAGGCAGCCGATCAATGATTCTCTCTCATCATTGATGTTTCTCTCTCTCTCTTTCTCTCCATTCCTCTCTGAAATCAATCAAGATATGTTTTTAAAAAATGTTTTGAATTTATCATAAAAAAAATTCTGTCCCTTTCTCTGACACCCCCTCCTGGAGATCTAATCACATGTCATACTTTGCCATCCATTTGCCAAGATCGCTGCAGTGTATGTGTCTCCCCATCCCCTCAGCTCCTGTAACTCCTGGATCTTTACCCAGGTTTCTCCCCCTCATCCTCAGAGTCTCCGCACAGATGCCCCTCCCTTAAAGAGGTCTTTTCTTACCTTCAGCTGCTGTCACCTCTCTATCCTGTTTCCTCTAAGATGCATATTGCTGTTGAAGCTGACTTGCTTACCTGTTCGCTTGCTCGGGGTCTGTCTCTTGAGAATGTGAGCTGTGAGAGGGAAGGATCAGGCTACGCTATTGCTGCCTACAGCGTGGTGCCTGGCACAGGTGCTCAGAAATCATGAACTGGATAGATGGATGAGAACTTCTCAGCCCCGCTTTGAGAATACTTCTGTTGGGCCCGGCTGGTGTGGCTCAGTGGTTGAGCATCAATCTACGAACCAGGAGGTCACGGTTCCATTCCCGGTCAGGGCACAGGCCTGGGTTGCAGGCTTGATCTCCAGTGGGGGTGTGCAGGAGGCAGCCAGTTCATGATTCACTCTCATCCTTGGTTTTTCTCCCTCTCCCTTCCTCTCTGAAATCAACAAAAATAGCTTTTTAAAAGAGAATACTTGTGTTGGGGTGCTCCCCAGCCCCCTAGTTCTTAGCTGCCTCTCCACATCTCTACCACTGAATACTCCTGAATCCCCTTCTCTCTGAAAAGCCATAAACCCTGTCCGCCAGCGGCCTCAGGCCTGCTCTGATTCTCATCTCACTTTCCCCAGGGGATTCGGCACCGGCTGAGAGGTAGTGCCAATGCCGTGAGGATCCGAGCCCCTCAGATTGGAGGTGAGAGGCCCGGGGACACGGGAGGTGGTGGCAGAGTTGGCGGTGGTGGCTGCTTTGGGTCTAGTCTTCCAGTTGGAGGTCCGCATGTGAGCCCCAACTCTGCCCGGGACTGCCCGGGAGAGTGACATGTCCCCGCAGTCTAATATAGGTGAGTTCTGGAGTGTGAGTCTAGGTCCTGGTTCTTTCCTGATGTATGGCTCTGGGATAGTGGCTCAGCCTCAACCTCATCTGTGACATGGGGATGACAAGTGCAGTGACCACCCCCATTTTGTCATGTATGGAACTTACATAGCATTTACTAAGTGCCAGCTGCTCTGCTAAGCACTTCCATAATACTATTAACTAATTTAAAATGTTAGAAGTCAAATAACCCACCTAGATCAGGCCCCAGGACACAGTAAGGCCTCGGTGAACCTTTTAACTACCAGACGGTTAACTGGCTTTTCTAACCTGTTTCCTTCTCACTAAAACCAAGAGCAGAATTCCCATTGTACGTGGTCGCTTATGGAGATCAAAGTTGTTTGTCTAAAGCCACATAGAAGGTAAATGAGCTTATAAACTTGTCACCTCCCCATGAAGGAGAGGGAGTGTCGCTTACAATTAGAGAGACGTGGGGAATATCCCCTAGGCCAGTGGTCGGCAAACTCATTAGTCAGCAGAGCCAAATATCAACAGTACAAGGATTAAAATTTCTTTTGAGAGCCAAATGTTTTAAACTTAAACTATATAGGTAGGTACATTGTTATTAACTTAATTAGGGCACTCCTAAGCTGGCCTTTGCTAAGAACTCAAGGGGCCAAAGAGCCATATATGGCCTGTGAGCCGCAGTTTGCCTACCACTGCCCTCAGTCTGGTTCTCCACCTTCCTAATGCCGCGACCCTTTGATACAGTTCCTCATGTTGTGATGACCCCAACCATAAAATTATTTTTGTTGCTCCTTCATCACTGTCATTTTGCTACTTTTATGAATCATAAATAGCTGATATGCAGGATGTATTTTCATTGTTACAAATTGAACATAAAGCATAGTGATTAATCACAGAAACAATAGGTAATTATATATTGTGAAATATTTACTTCTAATTACAAATAAATGAAATTTTGCCTTAAAGCATGGTGTGGCATGGGTCACAGTCTTAATATAACAACAGTAAACTACATTGCTACCCTTTCCGATGGTCTTAGGCGACCCCTAGGAGTGTGCTGCCTGTCTTTGCCGGAGCCTTCAGCCTTGGAAGTCCCCGGTCCCTGAGCCGTGGATTCTGGGGAACACTGATTGGGCCTCTATCCCCTTGCAGGCAGCTTTGCAGTGTGGGGGGGCCTGTTCTCCACCATTGACTGTGGCCTGGTGCGCCTGCGGGGCAAGGAGGACCCCTGGAATTCCATCACCAGTGGCGCGCTGACTGGCGCTGTGCTGGCTGCCCGCAGTGAGTGCCCCCAGCCCTGGCCCGGCTCCTGCCCCTTCCGCCCTGTTCTGCCAGCGCTCACCTCTCTCCCTGCCTCCCTCCTCCTCCAGGCGGCCCCTTGGCCATGGTGGGCTCAGCAATGATGGGGGGCATCCTGTTGGCCCTCATTGAGGGCGTTGGCATCCTCCTCACTCGCTACACTGCCCAGCAGTTCCGCAACGGTGAGCTCCGGTGGAGCCGGCCAGGGGGAGGTGGGTAGTGCTCTGTCTAGCCTCCTCCGTTCACCTTCTCTGGATTCTCCCCTCTCCAGCACCCCCGTTCCTGGAGGACCCCAGCCAGCTGCCATCTAAGGAGGGGGCCCCGGCCTCGGGCTATCACGGCTACCACTGAGGAAGTGACCACCAGCACCACCATCTTGTTCTCCTCCCCGATGATCTACCTCGAAGGGAGGGCTGGCTCCCCGTTGGCCCTGGGACCCTCCAGAGAGGGCCTCCACTCTCTGTTCCCTTGTCCCGGGGCAGGGTGGGGCACCCCAGCGGCCCCTCTCGCCGGGCACCCCAGCCCCACCCCATACATGTAACAAGCTCTTACCCCAGACTCTTCCTGTCCGCCCTGTGAGTATTTAAAGCCAGTTGTGAAATGCCTGTGTGTGTGCTCACTGAGCCTCTTCAGGGACACGGGGATGTGCAGTCCCAGAGAGAGTGGGCCTCGGTGATGTCTGGAGGATGAATGAGCAGGAGGGGGGATGAATCGAGATGGTAATAGGTACATGAGTAAGCATGTGTGGGAGCCAAGGGATGAATCATGTACGTAGAGGACTAGGCTTGGGAAAGAAGTGAGGAAACAAGGATTGCCGGCGTGGTGGGGGTGTCTGACCCCTCCCTCCCAGGCCCCACGGTGAACTCTGGCGTTTTGGACACCAGTCACCCCATTGGTGTGAGAACAATCCCCCTCAATATGGCATCACCGTGGACCTGGCTTCCTTAAGAAGGCGCCCTGCCTCAGTCTCCTCTAAGGCACCGCAGATACTTCTGCTCTGCGAGGCTCAGTGCTGTCAGTATCTTTCTCCCAGTTTTTATTTTATTTTAATTTTATTTTAAAATATATATATTTTATTGATTTTTTTTACAGAGAGGAAGGGAGAGGGATAGAGAGTTAGAAAGATCGATGAGAGAAACATCGACCAGCTGCCTCCTGCACACCCCCTACTGGGGATGTGCCGGCAACCAAGGCACATGCCCTTGACCGGAATCGAACCTAGGACCCTTCAGTCCGCAGTCTGACCCTCTGTCCACTAACCCAGTCTCGGTCCCAGTATTTTTTTTTTAAAGGGAACCACAAAATAATCTGAAGTGAGCTTTCATTCTGGGCCGGGGGGTTTTGGGGAAAATTTTCTGAATGGACATCAGCTCCAAAAGCTGTCTAACATGTAAAGCCCTGCGTGGGTGATGCAGGCATGTCTCTGCTGGGGTGCCAGTGCTGCTGTGCAAACGGCCTCACGGGCCACATAAAAGCTGGCCCTTTTGTGCAAGCCACGGCAGAGGTAGGAATGCCCTCTGACACCACGCTGTGCACTCCCTGAGGTGCGGTGCTGAGTCCCCGGGCCCCCCACGGCTTCCACAGGGACTTGGCCCCTCAGTGGCACAACTGCAACCCTGCCCGCTTGATCTGCTCAGAGCCCGCCGCCCAGGGAGGACCCGGGAGGGCGGGATGATGGCGGGCACTGCCCGCAGCTCTGGGCCGCAGTAGGGTCCAGCCTCCAGCTCCCATCCCCACAGTCCGGCCCAGGCTGTCCCAGACTGCTGCCTTGTGTTTCTGGGCCACTTCCTTTGTTCCTGCCCCTCTGAGTACCGGGGCCTCACCCTTCCTTGGCTCAAGTCAAACACCCTCCCACCCCTGTATTTCCAGATCCCGCCCTCATCATATCAAGCACCGTCCCATTAGCTCTTGGGGGGCCTTTGCTTTCTAGGAATGCTCAGGTTCCACCTCCCCCAAAAGCTGCTGTGGTTCCCACAGCCCCTGTGTCTTCAGGCACCACCCCTTTCTGTCTTTCAGCCCAGCCCTGGAAGGTTCCTACCGGCCCTCCTGTGTCAGCCCAGCCTCCTGAGGCCCTCACCACTGTGCAGCCCTGTCCCCTCCCTGTGGGCCCCGCCCACAGCCCCTTAGATCTGCATCTGCCTGCCCTCAGCCTACACCCCTGCGTCTTCAGGCCCCCAAAGCCCAGCCACCCACCCTCCTCTCCCACCCTTAGGCCCCGGAGCGGTGGAGCGGTCCATGGGGAAGTGCAGGCCCTTCAGCCTCGGCTCCTTGGTCCACTGGCTGGAGGGGGGAGACCAGCACGGGTTAGAGCCCCCCCTACAGGCGGACAGCGGGTGAGAGATGGAGAGTGGCATCGGGCTGGGGGGCACTAGCCCCGGGTGTCACCCGGCTCCTAGTGGGGTCTGGGGGCAACCTGGCCCTCAGGCCCCGACCCCTGACCAGATAGGTGGCCACTTCACTTCCCAAAAGAAGGAGATGGCTGCGGGCACCCTGGCGGAGGCGAGGTGGGAGGAGCCTCCCCGACCCCCAGCGGGGCGCCTGGGTCCACCCCGGCCGGCCGGTAGCCCCCAGCCCGGCGGGAGCCCCTGCTCCACCCCTCTCGCCGGGCTCCAGCTCCCTCGCGCGGTGCCGGGCACAGCTGAGCCCCCTGTGAAGGCCGCGGTCCTGATGTGGGCGCAGGAGGTCATGGGCGCCCTCCCCGGGGGCGGGTGAGACCGCTCACAGGTCATTTCTGACTTGGACAGGACCTCAGCAGGTTTGCCTGCAGCGGGAAGCCATGCCCCTCTCCCTACAGCATTCCGGATGACCGCGATCACCAGCGAGGCGTGCCCGGCACAGCTGGAGGCTCCTGCCCCAGTATTGCCCACTGAGATCGGCCACACCGGGCCGCCAAGGAGAATGGCCTCCCGTGGGCACGGGGACCAAAGGCACGATCTGCTGTGTCAGCAGGAGCTTCCGAAGCCTCAGCTCAGAGGCCAGGGCCATGCTGAGGGAGGGATGCAAGGCGGTCTTCAGCACCCTCTGCCAAATAACACCTCCTCTTCCTCTCCTCCCCGCATTGCTTCCACCCCGAAGACATTACCGCACAGATGGAAGGGTTCCACCCCAACATCCACACTGCGTCCACATGGAATTTGACCAAGAGGGCTTCCTACAGGGATTCCAGGGCCAGCCCATCCACACACACAACAGCAGCTCAGTCACACAACAGCTCAGTCACACACACAACAGCTCTGTGTGCAGCCACTCCAGCTACCTCCCCAGCTTCAGGGCAAAACCAAGATGCGCCTGCTGGCCAACACCATGGGGGACCTCACCATGGCCGATGGGGTTCAGGGTGGGGAGAACATTCTCAAGATCAGCTCTATGCCAAAACCAGAGCATCAGCCTGCGGACTGAAGGGTCCCAGGTTCCATTCCGGTCAAGGGCATGTACCTTGGTTGCGGGCACATCCCCAGTAGGTGTGCAGGAGGCAGCTGGTCGATGTTCCTCTCATCAATAGTTCTGACTCTATCCCTCTCCCTTCCTCTCTGTAAAAAATCAATAAAATATATTTAAATATTTTATTCCTAAATGACAAGGTGGAGAAGCAGCAGGAGCGCTACATGGCCTCCTATGACCTTGTGCTGGAGAAGGAGGCGATGCTGGACGTGGTCAACATGCTGCACCAGGGGCACTGGATGGAGATGCGGGGCTCCTAAGTGCGCAGGCGCAGGGCCTGTCTGCGGGCGGAGACGCGGAGGGGAGCCTCCGTGGGGGCTGCTCTGCTGTGAGCCTGGTGTGTACAGAGGGCAGCTGGGGATTGTGTTCCCCACTCCAAACACAATGCTCACTTCTGAGGTGACAGAGAAACTTGGCTGTGTTCCCCTCATTATAATACGTGGAAAGCAACTTACCCACAGCTACACTGCCAGAAAGAGACAAGGCTGGGCTTCACATCCTTACTTATTGTGTTTATCGAGTTTCAGAGACGTCATTTGCCACGTAATCTCCAGGGCCACACATTATCAGTCATTACGGGTGTCATTGGAAGGTTTCCTCAGGCCATCGCCACAATTTCTTAGCCTCCTTAAAGTGATAACTTCAAGGACAGAGTTCTCTTTTTTCAATCTTTATTTGAGAGAGAGAGAGATTATCAATTTGTTCTTCCACTATTTATGCATTTGTTGGTTGATTCCTGCATGTGCCCTGACGTGGGATCAAACCCACAACCTTGGGGAATGGGACAATATTATACTCTACCAGCGGTCAGCAAACTCATTAGTCACCAGAGCCAAATATCAACAGTACAATGATTGACATTTCTTTGGAGAGCCAAAGTTTTTAAACTTAAACTTCTTCTAACACCACTTCTTCAACATAGACTCGCCCAGGCCGTGGTATTTTGTGGAAGAGCCACACTCAAGGGGCCAAAGAGCCGCAGTTTGCCGACCACGGCTCTAACCAACTGAGCTACCTGAACCGGGCCAGGGACAAATGTGTCTTAATCGAGGTCAAGTCAGCAACAATTCTGGGCATTCACAAAGGGCTCTGTGTTCAAACTCAAGACAAAGTTTCTCACCTGAACATCTCACCAAATCAGATGGTCTGAACTAGATCAGATGGCAAACCGCGGCTCTGTTGACTAATGAGTTTGCCGACCACTGAACTAGATGATACAGAATGTAAGCTCTCCCTTGACAGCCCATAGACGGGGCATCGCCTTTCCTCAGATTTGTTTAATTATTAAGACTCTTATAAGACTGGGCTCTGACATTTTATTTAGGGAGCTTGAGAAAGAAAACACAGGCCTGTGAAGCTAAAATTTTAAAAATATTTTTTATTGAGTCCAGAGAGGAAGGGAGAAGGAGAGAGAGAGAGAAACATCAATGATGAGAGAGAATCATTGATCGGCTGTCTCCTGCACACCTCCTACTAGGGATTGAGCCTGCAACCCAGGAATGTGCCCTTGGCCAGAATTGAACCCGAGACCCTTCAGTCTGCAGGCTGACGCTCTATCCACTGAGCAAAACTGGCTAGGGCAGAATGAGGAAAACTTATTTATTTATTTATTTATTTATGTCCTCATCTTTGTCCTCATCCCCCCATTCCCATCCCAAACCCTTCCCCACGAATGCCTTCACCCCCCTGTTGTCCGTGACCACAGGTTAGGCTCATATACATTCATTCACACAAGTCTTTTGGTTGATCTCTCCCTCTTTCCCCTCCCCTCCCCTACCTCCCCTCAGAGGTCTGAGAGAGTCTGATCGATGCCTCCTTGTCTCTGGGTCTGTTCTTGTTCATCAGTCTATGTTGTTCATCATTTCCCCTAGATGAGTGAGATCATGTGCTACTGGAAATACACTTATAAG